GCATGCATGCACTTGTTCCACGCTGGCGTAAAACCGTACAAGTTGATGGGGACTATGTGGAAAAATAGTATGTGTAAAGGAAACATTGATTTATATTGTCACTAAATTTGAGCCATCTTGAATAAATATGTTCTGAGGAAAAAATGTGGGGCATTACTTAATGAGCGACCCTCGTAGCATATCAGTGAATTACACCACCACCTCAGAATACAAAAAATTCCTTATTCTGAAGGCTGAATTACATGTTAACAATGGACAGAAAGACATCAGAACCCAGATGATGGGAATGTTGAATTCTTCATGTAACCAACCGACACAGCTGAGTGTCTGAGAAGATTTTAATGAATAGACAGAAATTTGAGTGCAACACTTACCAAACACTTTAAGCAGCTCATCATTACATATGGCAAACTGTTTATTCTTGGGATCCTGTAATCAACAAATTCAAAATTCTGTAAGTGATTATGTAACAAATCATTAACCTTCAGCTTACATCAACATTAACACACACACACCTAAAATATGTACATATGGAGACAACATTTTTTTCTTTATACTTTCATTTTTAATGCAGCAAATTCTTGACTATATATAGCATCACTGTGAAACAATAAACTACTTTAAAGTTAATGATATTGACCAAGAGGTGGAAAGCAGGAGAGAGGGTTAGTATAACACACTGCATAGCACTACAATTCAAAATAACATTTCTCCATTGTACGCACAGCATATGAAGCAAGCACATGTAACAGTGGGGCAAACAACATCACACAAATGTTACTTGGTTGGTAACTACTTGTTCTGCTATCTGATTATGTAACAAACTGAGCCAAAATAATTACTATCATGTACAGATGCCAAGCAAACTGATGTGGACAATAACATACATTTGAACGTGGCCAAGGGCTCATCATACTGAATTAAAACTAATACTGTGGAAATAACTCAAAGAATGTAATAATACAAGTGTGGAGAGAAATTTAAACATGAAGACATGACAGCAAGGACAGAAAACTGAAAAATTAGAAGGTAATTTATAAATTAACACAGTTGTATACTTGAATTACTTAAAGGATACAGTGCCACATAATTCTTAGGAGGGGATTGGAAATAAATTGAAAAAAATACCTCCAATGAATCACGTGAGATGCTGTACAGAATGGTATCCATCCTTATCCAATCATTTCTACTTGCATATTGATAAAGGTTAATGTAACATTGCACTGTTATTCTTACTGACTCTGTTTTATGTTCATTAATATAATAACTATAGAGCCAACCTAAAAAATGTTACATCCTATGTAGTGTGGTATGTGGAGAAACTGAAATTTTATGTAGACTCTTGTATTTGAATCTTAATGTATTTTATTAATTCTGACACATCTCAAAAATAAAATTAAATAAAAATCCACCTAGATCTCAAAACGTTAACGTTAATGTACTTCATCTTAGTAATCTGGGACAGAGTCAACAAAAAGTAAGTTACCACACACCCTGCACCAATAATTTCTTTAGGGCAACCAAGAACACATGGGTCTATGTCATGTTCCTGCAGGTGCAGCCAGAAAGAAAATTTGCATTGGGTTCTTTGTACCCACATTATCTAGGTCTGGGTGCAACACAGATCAAGTGATCAGACACCAGCATCTCACAAATCAATCTATGGTAAATTTGTGAAGTTGCCTCATACTCAGGCAGATTTCGGGTGAGTTCTTAACCTGACTCCTGAAGCACATAATACAACCAATCAATCGTATCACAATTTGTGCCCTCACCTCAAGTTCCACCTCTTGACTCTCACAAACCAATAATGCATGAAGAGATGAGTACTTACATACAGATTCTTTTCCTTGATGATTGCCCAAATTTTACGAACAACTTCATGGCGAGCCATTGCATCTGCACCAACCACAGCTGCAAGTTCAGGACTAAGAGTATAGGCTCGTGTATAACCACTACCTGCACCCCGCTTTCCCTAAACAATAAATTGCCACCACATATAAGAAACAGCTGTTGACTGGTATTACAATCTCAAAATAACATTACACATCAATAATTACTACAATGAATATTTACCCAATTAATTAATAAAACATGAAAACAAAACAAGCATTTCCTCACTAAAGAAACAACATATTATAGACAAAATAATCACAAGCAGAATTTATTTTATTTTTATCAAATATTAAGATGATAAGCACACAATCATAACTGCAGTTAATGTTATCAACAGCAGGCATGGAATACTACATACAGAGCCTCACAATTTGTCATCCAGTCCGTGTGTAAAACTTGTTACAATATGGTCAGCACAGATGCCAACATATTCACAAGCTGTTCTGTAGTCAAACATGACATGCACTCCTATACCTTAATTCTACCTTCTGAAAATAATATGAATGTCTCATGTTGTAACACAAATATATTTGACATTAAAAATAAAAACAGATTTTGTAAGGTCACAGTTGATGATGGATTTAAACAGTAAGTATTCCATCATTATGGAAGGAAAGTGTAGAACAGAATTTCCCCATAATTCCCTCAGGTTTAAGATCAAATACCCAGATCATTTGCTTACCCCTGATACCTTCTTGGCTGCTCCGCCACCTCCACCACCACCAGCACCGCCACCCGAATTAGATTTCCTTGTCTTGGCCCAATCTTCATCACTGTCACTGTCACTACCCTTCTTCTTCTTGGCTGTCTTCCCTTTCTTGGCAGGTGCATTTTTGCCCTTTTTTGATGGACTGTATTCCTCATCACTTACATCCTACCAAATAAGTCAGTCGCTTTATAAATCCAAACCGCACAGCATTATAAATAAATACTGTGTCCTGTAGATATCCCATATCCTATTAAGTTTCCCACCAAACTTCATTATGCTTTATACCCGAATTAGTTTGCAATATTATAACTACACACACAAAATATCTATCAGAACACCACATACAAAAAACCCTCACAAATTGACCCATGTCTTAGAATCTGGAATCACTCTTTATTGAGAAATAAAGATGCAATGCCAACAAGTTTTCCACAGAAGCAAAGTTGTACTGTAACTGTATAGGCATCAACTTCCGGCTTTATTTATGTTTGGTGAATCTGATAACACTACCACTAGCTCAGACTATACAGCATCAGATGACAGGATGATAAACAAGTATTAAATTGGAAAGAATATGCAATGAAGCAGTCATAACCTAATTTCACTTTCCTAATGCACAGACACTAGCAAAGGACTAAGAATATCACATTACCATAACACTTCCATCTTCTTGCATAAAAGTGGGTGTCACACATACTCATTTATTATTTTTGTTAGAAGAACATACTACACAAGATGAGATCTGAAATACCACATCCATACTTGGTAACACAGTGTGTGTCAAATAATGCTGCCAAAACGAAAGACAAAAATCAACCCTGATGATGTACCACCACTTTTGTACTCAAACATAATATGAATAATAAGAAGACCAAACACTGTAATGAGAACAAAAACTAAACAGACCAAACACTTGCAAATAATTGAATCTGTAAACAGAAAACTTGGATATGATAAATCCCTCTCATGAGCCCATACAATAAAACATTTTCAAGACTTCACTCTTTGTAACACGTTAATTGGTTAATATATGTTGGTGCCCGAAAGATACTGTGGTATTTTATATATTTTCCATGTCATGTTTTCCCTTCATTTATGGACCATATTCCTCTAGACATAATCTCTTTTCATTTACATTTTCCCACAACGTATCATAAAAATGGGGGAAGAAACAATAAAATATGAAAGCACACAGTCAAAATAACTTGCCAATTTATTTAATTCACTGAAAAGTTACTTACATCATCAGAGCCTTCATCACTCTCATCACTGCTAGTCTTCTTGGCCTTCTTTGCTGGTGGTTTCTTGGTGGTTGCTCCACCCCCTCTCTTAGGTTTGGGCTTCTCTTCTTCTTCTTCCTCCTCCTCCTCATCTTCATCTTCTTCCTCCTCCTCTTCATCTTCTTCCTCATCTTCTTCATCCTTTTCCTTATTTTTCTTTTTTTTACCACTGTCTTTACCCTTGCCATCTTGCTTCTCTTGAAGACATTCCATAACTAAATCATCAACCTCTTTCTTTCTATAAATAAAACAGAATGTCAATTTTTTGTGAAAATGATTATATGGAAGCAAACGCAACACATTCATATATTATGAGTACTGAACAGTATCTGCTGGAAACCTCATAAACTCGCAACTAGCTTCACTTACCTGTCTGTCAGATCTACGTCTAGCTTTTCTTCAATCTGTTGCCGCACTTTCTTGGCAGACATTGTTGTAAGATCAGCATCCTTAAGGATGGCTGGAAATAAATTTAAATTCAAAAGCAGTAAATACAGTGAAGTTACAAAATTAAAGAAAACACTTAGCAATCAGTGCTGCATATGCCACAGAGAAGCATCTTCTATTCAGTCAACTTCCTCACTTAAATACAGATGAAGATGATCTGATACAGTGGAGTACTTCACACCAATGAATTCAGTGCTAACTTTACAAAGTATGTTTTCTCATAATTTTACAAGTGGTGAATTGAATCATTAAATATCAAAACATCTTAACACAAACACATTTTATTAAAAATGACTAAGACAATTTGTGGAAGCAAGTGTAAGCCTCAACTAGCTGGCTAACAATACTTTGCTGGCAGATGACTAATGAAGCATTTTATCTTATCTGTTATCTCTGTGTTCCAGTACATGAAGTACGACTTCACCACAAACGTATGACAGATGACTTTTATTTGTTATTTTTCAAAGTGTTTGCCTGGTTAACATGGCTAACATGAACACACTATCCCTAGGTATGCTTGGGATTATAAATTTTCAAACACCAGTTTTCATTTTTCTAATATTATGTTGAACAAACCTTATCAAATGTCTGTGGTATATTTTATATACACTGTTGTTTCTGGTGATGGCTCTACTTAAGAACCATTCTTGGCCTAGTGGTTTTACACAGTAGCCTACCTAGCATTCAAAATATCCTGGACTCAATCCTAACCATCATTAACCTTAAACTAAATCAAACTAAAAACAAGATGTCACTTAAATATACAGAGTAGAACCAATTCCTGAAACCCTGTGTATTTCACACATCCACCCAGAATAAAGAACATGATATAAGTAAAAGTAAAGTAAAGCTGTCCCACTATGTGCCATGTATGCAGTTGGGGGGGAGAGGTGGTATAGCTCCTATTCATTCTTGACATTGCACTAGATGCGGGTAAGTGGTCAGCATCACACCCCAGCAGCGCTTTACCCCTGAAAAAGGACCCCAGTACCCATTGGATAGGAGGCTGGGTGGGCCCCAGAGCCAGTCTGGACGCAGAGGAAGAATCCTCTGCCATCAGGGATTGAAGCCCGGTCGTCCAGTCCATAGTCAGTCACAATTCTCACTGAGCTACTCCAGCTCAAATTAAATATTAAATAAATAATTAATAGAAATTAAAACTCAACATATTTTGAAGAAAATTACTGTAAACCTGTTTGTGATCATTTGTTACATGACAGTCTGCAAATTGGTAACTTGACCCCAGGTGTTCAAGAGATAATTATAAAAAAAAATACATTTGCACTGTGGCAACAATACCTCAACTAAAAATTCTCAGCTATTATAAATACATGTAAGCAGGAGTGGTGATGCTTCCTTCTATAATTACAGTTGTGGTAAGACTGGTAACTGTAAAACACTGACATAACTATGTAATTTATATCTGTACTGGTATCTGAAAGCTAATAGGTATATTTTAGCAACTTATAATTGCAAACATGCCTAAGAAACTACTACAACACTCTTCATTCCCACACAAATTGATATTTAGGTTTGGTTTAAGGACTCTAGAAATACACTTCATGACTGATTATGGACGAGTTAATGGAGACTAGTGACAAGAACATTATTTGCCTGTCTAAATGTATGAGTAAATGTACTGTTACATTGGTAGCAGATTTTTGTATGATTACCAATATTAAAGACAGTACCAGGGTAGCTTCTGATCCTGCATAAGTGTTTCTTCATGTTTACAGTGGTTTGACTACTTAGTTCATTGTATAAAACACACATTTGCTAACTTGCAAACTGTAAGTTATAAGAGGCAGGTGGTGAGTACACTTTGTTTCTGGAGACAAGGCTTTGTGTATTAATAACGAGTCCAACCCACAGGCACAATATAAGGAAAGATCCCTGAGGTCCTGGGTTTGATCCCAACTGTTGTCAATAAAGCTTAATGACACCCAATCACCTGAATATGAGGCAAGATCTAACACCCAAAATGTCATGCATATCAAATATATCTCAAACAATGGTCAATGTCCAACATTGTGTTTCTATAATGAATCAACCATTGTCCAAAGCCTTTAAAGAATCATGGTAGATCACATAAATTAATTTTTATATCTGCCTACAAAACAGTAATTATAACTTTATTATGAGACCATGCATATGACTTTTCAGACTGGATTCAATAGCAAAACATCTCAGCACAATCTTAATATAACTTGACATAATGTTTATCAGCACAACTGTCCTCATCATATCAAAACAGGAACAAGTAAACACAATGTACAGTAACTAATGGACACTTTCACAGGCTAAGGGGATATTTTAAAAGTCCCTAAAACCCTAATAATAAAATTAAAATAAACACAAAACAAAGTAACATCTCGCACGGTGACTATGTCTCCTTAAATTAATGTTTTCACAGTTGCATCATTTAGCATTGGTATGCATTATTTTACTACCATAGTTAAATTTTTTTGAATTCAGTGACAAGCAAATTTACCTTATGTTACTTTATTAAGTTTCATGTTATATTTTTATTGCATTCAGCACACACAAACAAAACACAAATTCTGTAATTAATTTGTTGGCAGATGACTTGTGGGCATGTGCTGAAGGCTGAATCACATGGTTAGATTTACGATATTCATATTTATATTTCAACTTAACATTCACAAGTGAAACTGACTATTCATTGGAAAAAATTTGTCAACATTCACTCTTCCCTCCAAATCTACAAGCTGAATAAATTTGTCAATACATTAACACCTAAATTATTAGATACAGTTACACAGGTTTCCAATGCTTAAAGAATGCCGCTGGTACGCCCGAAACTCGCATCTTACCTGCAAAGTGGATTGTGGGTATGTTAACGCAAGAGCGATCTATATACACATTTTAACTTTCATTAAATTTCCAACGCATTCAATATATTATAAAATTTATAAAATTACATACACTATTTGTTTTATTCACTACCATCCAAAAATACATATAATGCATATAAACAACACCTTGCTCTTACTACTATCAATGTTCACTATCAAATGCCAAGACGGCGTCATGAAGCCATTTGGATGTACACAAAATACAAGTCCAAGAACATCAAACTACAAGAGATAAATACCATAAATTCCCTATACAAAAGGGTGTTTTTTACCTTTAAAAATATTCAAATGTAATTTTCGAAACAAATTTGTATATTTTTAGTAGTCAAAATTGAAGCACACAAGAGATTTTGTTATTTACCGGTAATTTCCTTGCGGAGCTCTTCTTTAGATATATCTGCCATCTTATACAGTGGAGACAAGGATACCAACTACGTAACCACTATTCAGACAAGCGTTGCAACGAACAAGTTTTTGGTACGATATAGAGACAGCAAATTGTACTCGAGATATGTATGTAAAAGTTGTTCATCTCGTGTAATCTGCTGATTGATCAAAATCTATTTCTAAATGGAGAATATTAGCCACTGTATGTTTTATTTGAAATTCGATTTGTTACTGTTAACATCCTTGGTTAAAAGCAGGAACAAAGGTGCCACTATATAGTTAAAATTGTTCAAATACTTGCATTCGGATGGGGTTGAAATTTATAGAGATTATACATATGTTATCCATAGACTTAATTTTTCTTTTCCGGCTCTACGTGACAATATTCCCATATACTGAACATATTTTGACTCCCGCCAAGAAATCAAAATTAATATTTAAGCAAATTAGCAAAATATAGTACTCATTGTTTGCACTGTGTACAAATTGATTGGGATACACAGTGTGGTACTTACAAGTGTAGGACTATAGAATTACAATCTAAAATTAGCCAATGTTTCAGTTATCTAAATTGTAATATTTTGACTACATAACTTGATGTCAGTATTGCCAATATATCGTAAAACGTATATATAACGCCTTTCTTAAAACATCAATTTAAATACTTAATTTGTGTTCTGCATTCATTACGCGGCTACAGGCATCATTATGAATATTACTATAATTTATTTGTGATATTTTTAACGACTCAGACTACACAATGTCGACAACAAAATGCGCAGTGAATAATTGCAAAGGATGTGGAAAGGGCTCGTAGCGTTATATGAAATACTGTCCTAACATTTACCTGGTAGGTCTGAGGAAAACCAGAGAAAACATTGGCTAGGATAACCTGTTGTGTCCAGACAGAGATTTGAACGCGAGTCATCCCGAATGAGAAATACTATCCACACAACCACATTCTTTGAATACTGTAATAACCACAGATTGCAAATAGTTGTAGTCCGCCATTACTTGCGCGTTGTATCGTGTGAGGAGTAAGCAGCTAAATCTGGGCAAACGAATTGGGAGAAATTGTTTACAGTTAAATTTTATGGAGATGATAACATTAAGATTGAAAATATGTAATATATTACCATTTTAAAATAATCTGAGTGCTGAAGATAAAGCATGGTTGGTTCCGGTTAAGGTCAATAACCTATTTCAACATATATTACAGCCACGGGTGTACTGCAATAGTCTCGCGTGAAGCCTTCCTAATTGAATTCTGTGGCTAATTATTATCCCTTGTTAACGGAACAAAAAAAATATCAGAACATACATGCATTACACCAGTTCAAAATAATGATACATCTTGCCCATCCCTGCCTCCAAATGCGAAAACAAAAACATACATTAATGAAATTACCTTGTTAAAAGAAATTGGTAGCACACAGCTGATTAGATCACTATGGAAACAAAAAATAAATTAATACCAGCAAAAAAAAAATGTAGGCAGAGCACTTTACCTTACCTGAAATCCCTATTAACAAGCTTTCTAGCCTACCAAAACCTTTCGATTCTTCACATTCAATTTGTCATAATTTCCTTTCCAACTCACTTCTACTTCTAATTTGCATGCTATATATATATATTTTTATGTAGCTGGAAGACACGCAAGATGTCAACAAAATGAAAGATTAAGTAATAACAGAAGAATATGTAATGGCATCTTTTTATTAACTCTTCTTCTTCTTCGAGTGCCTTCTCTGCTAGTGAAAGTTGGCGATCACATCACTAAACTTTTCATGATCCTGTGCGAGATGGAACAAGGCAGCCACACTTTGGATCCCGGTCCATTGGCGAATATCCTCCTGCCAACTCTGCAAATGAAGTTTACCCTTTTCTAAAAATCAGCTTTAGACAGACAATACAGAAGCGTCAGCAGCAAGGTGAAAATTTAAGGCTTTGAGGTGAATGAATATTTACACACTTATATATAGTGAATAAGAGAACTCTATCTGTAAACCATATGGCTAGGAGTGATAACTTAATAAGCCACAGTTATAAGTAGTTATTCTAAGTCTTGTTCTGCTTCATGAATCTAATTACACTGATTTCAAGTAGGTTATTCATGTGGACTGTGGTTTTCTGGGCTGTAACAATGTAGACTTGTAGGTGTTACCAATGCAAAATAGCATTACAACCCAGAAGATCAACATCAACATCTTTACTGCCAAAAAAAATCTCTGAATGTACTGAAAATTGATGGACCTAAGAGAGATGACTCGATGAGTGGAAAAATATTACACAGTGAGAAACTTAATGCTTTATTTTCTTCACCTCGCATTACTAGGAGAGTCAATGAGTGATATGTAATATCTTTAGAAGAAAATTCAATTAAATGATAAAAAGAAAAACATAGCAATCATCTTATTGGTATGTTACAAAAATGGTGTCACATGCTTTATTTACATATAAAAATTCACTTCTTTTTCGTAAATTACATCACCATGAAACTTACATGCAAATATGTGTTCCCCTTTACACAGTTCCAGTGGGGACTACAGATGTTATATCAACAGAATTAGTGACTTCTGCAAGAACTGACAAAACTGAGACTGACCTCATAGGGGACTAACAGAGATGGACTTTTCTGATGACTGGTAATCCATGCATTAAATATCCAGACCCATTACATACATCGCATGTAACATATCCTTGTTGGGAGTCAACACTTGAGTCAAGTTCTGTTGAAGACCCGCCTTCTGGAATGTTACAGAGTTCATCTTCATTCCCATTACATAAGTCACTTGTTACACAATCCTGTTGGTGGTCAATACTAGAATCAAGGTTTGCTGAAGAGCTGCCTTTAGAAGTACCATCTGGTTGAATGATCAACCCCTCCTCTCCATCCCCACTATGTAAGTCATGAATCAAGTATCCATGCTGATAGTCGACACTTCTTGTTGAAGAGATGCCTTCGGAAACACCACCTAGTTGACTGATAAGCTGCTCCGCTCTATGATAAAGATGATGATACAGTCCTATTTTCTTTCATTTCACTACTCTACCTGAGCTAAACAGTAACCATTATACACCAGAATCCTACATGATCAAATCACACTTTCTCTTTGGCATAAGACAGTAAATAACTTACAGTTATGCATTACTCTTTTATTCAGCTACCCATAATTCCATTACAAATGTTAAACACTAAAATACATACATAAACAAAAGTGGAAGATCATGGGCATATTTTCAATCAGTCACTCTCCATTGCTTGGATAAAAAGAAGTATGACATTTCAGAAGTTTACTCTGATCTAGCTATACATACATGGAATACTCTGGAAAAGCATGTTCAGATTCTCCAAAAACATTCTCTGCACTCAAATCTATATTTATGAAGTATTCTTGAAAAGCACTATACAAAAATACTCAAATCTTATTACACATTACACACTGGAAAATTCTTTACAAACAAAAGACAATGCTACTAATATTTAGCTCATTCACATAAATAACACCAATCTGAAATGTTTTCTACCCAAGTTTATATACAATGACGACAAATCCTAATTGGTAGAAAATACCCAAATATATGTTTTATCACTAACTGTAGTGTAGTTCCTCTATTCAATATGTTATCAATATCCAATTAAAGACACATGTAAGACAAAGTACAGTCAAGCCATGGCATTTAAAATGTCATCTTATACTGCTGAGCTGTGATGCAGTGTAGTATTGTAGGTGGGTACCAATGTTTTGGAAGAACATAATGCCTCCATCTTCAGGACAGAAAATGTACGCAATATGTTCCTCCTAATCTTTGCCGCCTGCAACATCATATGGTGTAATAACTGAAAGGACAGCAATAGTTTTACTGCTGTAAAAACCTAAAATATCATATACTGCACATCAACAATTGAAGCCAGCTTTGATATTCTATTAAATTAGTGGATTAATGTTTTACCTGCAGGAATGGCGAATTTAAACCTCCATACTATGGGAATGTCAGTTTGACTCAAAAAAAATTAGTAAATACTGAAGAAACATGGCAGATTCCAGGCAATCTCAAATGTATTTACATATAGAACCAGTTGAATGAAATGGTCTAAAAGTTCTGAGAAGAGAAAGACATATTTAATTTTCTCAGAAAATTGATTTCCCCATTTGGAACTAATCTGAAATAATACCACACGCACCTGTCTTGTGATTTCACTTCATTCTCCCATTCTACATCAATCATATTATCTTCATCCTAGAAAGTAATATATTAATCACTATAGATAAGGTATAATATATTAAGTAAAGTCTATATAGGCAAACAGTAATTTGATACATTTCCTATTCACAATGGCCTAAACCAATGGGATGCTTGAAAGACACTGTTTTTCAATTTTGCTCTAGAATATATATAACAAAGACGGTACAAAAGAATCAGGACTGAAGTGAACCAGGTAAATCAGCTACTAATGTATGTTACTAATGTTAACTTACTAGAAAGAAACACAAATTTCAAAACAGAGAGGAATACAAAAATTAAGTTACATGAGCAAGGAAATTGGTATATAAATAAATGTTGTATTGAGAATAAATTCAGGCAATGCCTCTTATTATTCATTTCAATTACATGATTATTATGATGGAAGTAGACTATGTAAGTAACAATTACATCCGAAAAGCAAGGTAAATGAAATAATTTAATGATGAGAAGCTTTATAATTTATACTCTATTCTAAATATCATTTTGGAATTTAAATGATAGACCAGATAGACTGGATGTGTCCCTGGCCATAACTGCCAAAAAAGAGGTAAGGCCCCAGGCATAGGTAATATACCAGCAGAATTAATTAAATCGGGTGGAACAGCATTGGATAACATAATATATACTCTCGTGAAGCAGATATGGCAAAAAGAGCAAATACCCGAAGAATCGAAAATCGGATTGATATGTCCAATATATAAAAAAGGGGACAGGTTGAATTGCCAGAACTATAGAGGTATAACCCTATTATGTACGGTCTACAAAATATTTACCCATTTACTGTGGAAAAGACTGGAGGAAGATTATAATAAAATTATAGGGGAATACCAATCAGGCTTCCGCGCTGGAAGGTCGACAATAGATCAAATCTATACGGTGAAAGGTATAGCTGAAAATTTTTGGGAATTTGATCTCAATCTTTATCATCTATTTATTGATTTTCGAACGGCATATGATAGCATAAGTAGCGAAGGACTCTATAAAATCATGGCTGAACAAGAGATACATCCAAAGATGATACGACTGGTCAAAATGACTATGTCCGGCTCCAAAGCCCGGGTTAAGATCTGTGGCGGTATGACTTATCTATTTGAAGTTGGATCGGGACTTAAACAAGGGGATGGTCTAGCACCAATGCTCTTTAATCTTGCTCTGCACTGGGTTGTTAAACAAACCAAGGTGGATCTCAATAGCACATTATTATATAAGAATGCTCAAGTAGTAGGATATGCCGATGACCTCAATATAATGGGTCGAATGCTACCAGCATTAGAAGGAATATATAAGGATCTGGAATTAGGAGCTGCTAAAGTAGGGTTACATGTTAATGAAAGCAAGACTAAACGGATGATACAAAGTAGAGATAGACAAAGAATAACGATCCAGCCTAGCATGACATTGGAGATATTCCAAAAAGTACAAGAATTTAAATATCTTGGAACAATCCTGACAAATGAAGATTATGACAGCCCTGAAATGTACTTTAGTCAAGGGGAAACAGGAAGTATATTAGAATTATGGCAAGAAAATTCTTGCAAATTCTGACCATAAGACCAAAACGGGAAGACAACATTAAAATTAATTCTGAATATATTAAAACAGCTCAGGAGTCAAATGAAGGTTTTAGTATGGCCTTTTAAATCTCCAGGTTCTAATAAAAGAAACTTTGGTAACTCACCTGGGTTTCAGTTTTAACTGGAGGAATTGTAATAGGTACATGCTGACCATCCTTCGAATCACATTCTAAATTGATTAACTGCAAGCAATGCTGCAAACAAAAGTATTTCTCATCATATACTGGAATAATGTCTCAGATATGCATTAAACATTTCTCTACAACATGCTATGATAAACATCCACACTGACTGTACTTATAGCTAATGGGATATGCAGGGGGGAGTTAATGCCTTAGTTATTAATTTATCAAATGATATTTGTGTAAACACTTGACATATAATGGATTAATTTCATAAAATGACATACACAGATTAAACAGAAATGTACATCCACTAAATGATTCATACAAATGTGTAGTAACTAAATCTACACATAATTTTCTGATACTTCATAACCATATCACATGAAGATGGCTCTCTTCTAGCATTCAGTCTGGTAGATGCTGATTGATGTTTCAAGGTCACTGCCTTCATTGACAAAATTACATGCTTCAGCATTCCAGAAGACAGCAATCTTCATACTCATTGCCAAATCTCACATACAATACGAAATAACACAGGAAATGTTAACTGTATACTCTTTGTTAAACACTAATTCAATGCCCATTTCCAGATGATATCCCATCTCTATTAGATCTCTGCTCATAGGCAATGTAGTTGGCAGTAAAAAACCTGCATCTGATTGTGAAGAACAGACACTAGCACCATAATAGAATAATGCATAATTTAGCACCTCTTTCCATCATCATCTTATTTCATCATACACTTTCACATTCACTGTTTTAAATTTAATATTCATTCTTAAAATCAGCCATCTTGAGGAAGATACATGCAACCAGTGCGGTAAAAGTCCTCAGAAAGAAACTTGATGATCCAGCTAAAATTATTTGTATGGAAGAAAAGTGAAACTCTGAATTTATAAATTCAAACAGCAAGGAATGCTATATTTGTATATTTGGATGCCAAATTAAGAGAATTTACAGTAATGAATTAAAGTCACAGTAACAAATCATATTTATGTTACCTGTTACAAGAAAATTTATTGATGTTACTCCCCATAATACCAGGTGTTTCTGGGACCAGTCTGCAGTCACATCAAATTTCTGCAGCCTGGTATGATTGTTGGAAAGGAAACAGTAAATTGGTAACATATCCATATAACATGGCATCATATTCATATATTCCCTTATCATTGTAATGACTGACATTTGTTTATTGGGCCTTTATGTCTTGAACTGAGCCCAAAAACACATACTTCAGCAATGGACAACCTATTACAGGACATTCTGTATATCAAAAAATGACTACAATGGACAAGGGTTCTGAGCATCAAGTGAAGTGTATTTCTATAACCTGATATGTTAACAGTGGGAAAACTTGTATTCATTAATCCAGAGAGAATATACACTGTAAAAAATTATGCACACACCCCTCTTCGACAAAAAACTAATAATTTCTTAACACAGCCATCATTACAATAAATATATCACTTTGGTACATGCAGGGAACAGAAAACAATGCTGGAATACAACTCACCACACCTTCAGTACTCATGAGAGCTAAACAATCCTGTTCTTCTTTAACATCACTGAGAAAAAATGTTGGTTGTATCTCACCATCTGTATTAGGTTCCACTTTAATGAACTCCATATTGGGCTGAAAACCAGTATTTTACACTTCAGATAATGGGATATGCTTTCATTAGTGACACCTACACCTCTGATTAAAGAAACAATACTTACTTTCACATAAAAAGACAAAGTGCAGATTGCATAATGTTTAATAGATCAAAAGAAAACCACAACAATATCTCAAATGCACTAATTTTCTTTTTACAAAGAGCTTACAACCAAATGTCAGAAATCAATTAACCCTTTCATTGTTTTTGGTGACAAATATCATGCACTATTTTCGTTCTTCTGGTTTGCATGAATTACCTTTAAAAATATGTGTTCCAACTATGGGCTTTCTGTCAAAATGTGTGCCAAATCTTGAAAGCTTCACTCATGAAAAAACGGACAATGTTATGCTTCTTCTATTGATTGTTGGTTATGTAACAACTGAAAAAGGTGAAAGGTAAAAAAGTAAAACGCTTGTTTTCAAGATAAAATATAAAACATCCAAACTTATTTTTAACAAACAAAAATGAGTCAACATTCTAGCACGTGTATTGCAGGGTATTAATGGACATGTTCACATATTGCAGAGATGTGTGTTTAATTGGAAACATTCATGCTAGGAAATGAATGTGGCCTGTTTCATGACACACTCTTAAAGAAGTCATGAAATATGGGGGGAAAAAATCTCAGAACAGCCCATCTCTAACCAGGACTGAAAACAAGTATTCCACCCCAAAACAAATTTTATACCAAGATGGAGGTGAACCTGTGTGGTGTACTTCTAGGTGCTACTATCAAGAAATGTGCAGTTCCATGCACATTGTTCATCGTCTCAACATGTTTCATGCATGCTCAATCTCTTCACCATCACCATGTTATAAACCTCTCACCCACAACATGGGTGCAGGAAGCAAAATTCCAGAGCATTCTAACATGTTAAAGAAGTGAAATTATGAGATCCAATTACATTATGTGAATGGTCAATGATTGATGTTACAAAGTACCTTCAAAACAAAAGCTTTTGTGAAATTATTATGAGTGCTCCACATCACAGACATGAAGAATATAGTGACAGAAACTACTGTTTCCAATGGATTTGCTTTAGCAACATTGAGGTTGGTGCACACAAAATTAAATGGTCAATAACAAAGGGCAAGTCAGTACAGTGTCTGACTATAGGCTGGATGACTGGGGTTCTGTTGTACAGCCCATTATTCAAAAACAGAGTACTAGTATACCACACTGATACTGCCAGTTAATTAATATGTGCCATCAACTGGAGAAGGTAACCTCATATAATGATGAAAACATAAAAAGATGGCATATATACAAAATGGTACATATTAAGCGAAATTAAAATTAAAACAATGTCAAACTGCACAATTTATTTACTATAATGAAATTAATGTAACTTTTAAAACATTGGGAAAAGTATCTTATCCGGTGTCCAATCAAATGTATCACACTTCTGCAACAAAATTCAGGATTGACCTTACCTGAATCCTAAAAAACCTTTCAGATTTGGCTGTGTTTGGAACTGCTATGCTTAAACTTAAAAATACACACACCCACACCAGAATTTTACAAAGGCAAAAACAAGCATAAATTACCCCTTATAAACCAAAATATTGAGATTAAAAAAAACGTTGGAACAACGATAAAATGTAATCTGTTTATAATTCGAAAAATCACCACAGGGTCAATATTAAAATCACTGAACAGAAAACAAACTGGTACACATTCAGCAACTTTATGCTCATTTCAAATCTTCAAAATACACATAACACATCTTGAAAGAAAGCTAGTCTGTGGTCAGCGGTCGAAGCACCATGTGTTCGTGACCACAGATAATACCAGTTTTTAGACTTATTATAAAGCACCTCTATAAAACGGAACATTGTCTGTCATTATTAATCTGTGGTAAATAGAAATGTCACGTCACTGCTTGTTCGATTATACACGTCAGTGACACCTTGACTAGTGTTGCCACCATCATAGTAAACCAAATATAACTAAGTACGTTGACAATACAGGGCAGTGATAAGCAGTCCTTGACCCTGAAATACAGAGTGTACTCAAAAGAATGGTGCGGTTTCAAAAGTTAATAAAAAAATTATTTCTCACCTTACACGGGCACAACATACACCGTCAGCGGCGGGAACTGTCAAAGTTTCTCATGCGTTAATTACAATCCTTCACTGTGTGCACCCTGGGTCACACGACACACATTCACAGTACGCCCGATCCAGTGCTGTGAGAAAACACGATTGAGAAGCACTCGTACATTCCTGTGAAAATGGGGGGGAGCTCCGTCCAGTTGTAGAATGTAATCGTCATAATTGGTATTCAGTTGGGGTAACAATGAGCTTTCCAACATGTCCAAAAATGAGTCGCCAGTCACAGTTGCACCATTCTTTTGTGTATACTCTGTATAGGGACAGCAAATGTAAAAGGTGATATTCTGCTTGTGCGTATGCCTAGCGCTGTTTCCATAGGCATTACGAGAGCCCCAACATCGAAAGAAATATACTGAGCTGCCTCTATGGATGAATTTGTGTAAAAGGGATGAGCAGCAAGTATTAACCTCAAAGTTCGATATATTGCTGCATTCATAGTCCAGCACAAAAAATTGTCAATATTTTACTAAATTGCCAAACAAAAGAAAAATTACATGGTACAATAAAACCTGTGATCAGCATGGGGAGAAGCAGGGCAAGGCCTATGAATGTATTTCATCATACACCACTAAATCATTGTTGACAACATGGTTTAACTGGGAAGCCTATGGAGGACTGGTGTATAATGGCAAAGACTGAAATGTTGGTATCTATGTACAAGTCCATATAGCATAACTACTGAGAACACCAGTATTAATATCTTCACTGTGAGAACCTCAAATCTCATTCAAGTATACTGCCACAATCTTCAGGTAATGTATAACTACATACTCCCTTAAATGCAGCCTTCACATTCTCTCCAGTAAATCAATTTTTTTTTCATGGATTCTGACATTTAGGATGTAGAACAAATCAACAGTCAATACTACATTTTGCAACTTGTGACACATTAAATATGGAATATCAAATATGCATACAAACAAAACTGTTTACACTATGAGAATGACACTAATGTCAAACATGTTTCAACCACAAGAGGTCATCATCAGTGGCAAAAGCAAGTCAAATCATAATATAAATGATTATGGTTTTTAATAAAGCATAAGGGTAAGTTCTTTACAAAACCATATTTAGGTACACTTCACTGCATGTTAGTTTCACAGGAGAGGGTGTATTATATTGGGCACTTAGCTATTAGTCCACTGGTCTGATGGCCGTGGTTGTGCCGTCTGTGCCTGTGAACTTCAACGAAGCATGGGCGGTACTGTCAGTTTTTGAAATGTGTAGGGTATACAATAACTCCTCTGAAATCAGGGTAGCCAATTATTGTATATGAAATTTACTTTTTTCTGTTTATTGCTAGGTCAAATAACACATTGGACTCATGGGTGTTCTGTTCATTTATGATATTTTGGTTTTTACTAGTTTTATATATATGGAATTTTTCTAAAATGTCACGCATTTTACCTTTCGAGGCTATTCTTAACATGTCCATGATATCTTCCATGGGGTTGTATTCATATCCATGGTCGAGGATGTGTTGGGTGTATTTTAATCTTCTTAAGTTGAATCTAATGTTGTGGACTACAGAGGACCAGTTTGTTACGCAGCCACCTGACGCAGCTTGTAGCCCGAGAGTCTTTCATCAAAAAATTAAATACCTTGATAAAATGTACAACAGATTATGGATAACTGTAAATTTTAACCACTGCATAGAGGAATTTATCTATTCATCACACTTCAAAGTCGCTTGTTGATCATGAACCTGAATATGCTTCTTCAGATTCCAACTAGAAGAGAATTTCTCTTCACAGCTGCCACAAGCATATGGCTTCTCTCCCGAATGAATACGATAATGACATTTTAGATTCCAGGTATTCGAAAATCTCTTTTGACATACATCACAAGTAAAGTTACTTTCTCCAGTGTGCAGCCGAAAATGCTGATTCAGTTTCGAGCGATTTTGATATTTCTTCATGCAGACACTGCAACTGTACGGTTTCTCTCCAGTGTGACTTTGTAAATGTTTACTGAGATCATTCTTGCTAGAGAACTTCTTTTTGCATTTATCACAATCATATGGTTTTTCACCAGTATGAATACGATAATGTACCAAAAGGTTGTACCTGGATGAAAACATCTTAGCACAAACATCACAAATCGAAGGTTTCTCACCTGTGTGAACGCGAAAATGTCTTGCAAGTTCGCTTCTGTTAACAAATTTTTTCCCACATATATCACAAGCAAACGGCTTGTCACCAGAGTGAACATACTTATGTGCTTTCAAAGAAAATTTTGTAGAAAATTTTTTCTCGCACACTTCACAAGAATATGGCTTTTCGCCTGTGTGGTTACGCATGTGTTTCTTTAGCTCTGAACTATTTATGAATTTCTTCTTGCAAATGTCACAATTATATGGTGTCAGACCTGTGTGCGTCCGATAGTGTTCATGGAAATTCGAACTATGGGAAAATGACTTACAGCATATATCACATGTATATGGTTTCTCTCCTGTGTGTAGGCGGTAATGACTTTTCAAGGAAGAACTTCTTGTAAATCTTTTGTTACACACATCACAGGAGTAAGGTTTCTCCCCTGTGTGAATGCGCATATGCTTCTTCAGATCTGAACTAGAGGAGAATGTTGTACTGCAGAGTTCACAAGCATAAGGCTTCTCTACCGTGTGGACACGATTGTGAATTGTCATTTTACCTTTTGTTTGAAACGTTTTATGGCACACATCACAACTATATGGCTTTTCGCCTGTGTGATAACGGGAATGCACCTTCAGAGCACTGCTGTACGAAAATGTTTCATCACAGACATTGCACTTGTGAAAATTTCTTCCCGTGTGATTACGAATATGAACATTGAGATCATATATATCTGAAAATGTTTCGCTACACATTTTACAGTGGTGAATTGTCCCATCCTTCACTGTACTACACTCTGGAATTACTTTTGCACTAAGACAGCCTGTAGCATTCATGTCCAAATGCCCATAAGTGTTATTATACACATTAGCTTCTGTGACATGCTCATTCTGGTTATATATATGCATGTCTTGTTTCATGTAGTCAGCAGGGAAACAACTTTCTTGTTGTATGATCAATGAACTGTAAAAAAACAGTGGCATATGTGAACACATATTCACATGCAAGTGTATAAAGCTCATAAAAGCAGCCATTTTTCACAAAATACAGTTTTAAAATACAAACTATATTTCTGAAACAAACATATGTGAAAGATGCAAACACTAATAAGTTCAAGGGCCACACTGTGGCTATTTTGGTGGTAAGCTTGTAAACAATATTTAGCTGTTTTTCGAAATAAATTTTTTGCTATACACCACCATTTTTGAGGAACAAGATACATAACTTCAGATTGTGATGTAATAAACATACAGAAGTTCCATCACACAAAGAAAAAAGGAAAAACTTGTGGAAATGCTACTGGTTGTATCATTTCATGAAAAACAGTATAAAGTAATGTGCATATAGATGTAATATTTCAATTGCAGAAAACAGGTCATGCTCATATACATCATATTATTATACTCAATACAGATGTGTCAGAAGAATATTGGATTAATTTTAAAAACTGGATCTAATAGATCTGCCCATAAATTAAAATGGAAAACAACTGTGTCAAAAACTACTACTACTACTACATAGATCTGATGGTATCAAACCATCAGCAGTCCATAGAACAGCTATTCAATGACTGTTTCACTTATTTCAAATTTGCCACATCATGGTTGTTAGCTATAAACAACATTTATTTCTCTTGACACATCTACAAGCACTTTCCATGACCAACAATGGCATGCATGCCAGTACTAGGAATGTTTTGGGAACTTCAAATAACAATGCAAGTATAAATAAACAACAAATTATTATTAAAATAGTGAACTAAGAAACCACTCACTTGTTCACAGGTATCTGATAATCCTCCGTTTCTACTTCATCCTTCCACTCTTCCTTGACCAGTGTAGTGTCCTGTTACACAAGATATGCAAGTATGCACAAAGTTATAATGAATCAATGAAACAGATACAAGGAGAGAAGTTTCAGAATTACAAAATTAAAAATATCAGTTTTACAACTGACAAGGGAAAATGAATAACAAAAAATTCTGAAGAACTCTGTGTTATGTGCTGATTGTTAAGAAAATGTAAATGCAGAACAGAAAAATGGAATCTGCTGCCCAAAATGTCCATGTTTGAAAGTTACAAATCTAAATTAAGATTTAAGACATGTACTGCATACCATGTACATTTCAATCAATCATCCACAACTGCTGAGTAAATATCATGCAATGACAAACATTTGCTATGCCATATTTATAACATGAAACATATAAATACTGGGATTAAATATTATTAAGTCCAAGATAGATATAACATGTGATTTACATATAACATGAAATGTAGATGTATTGTAGGCTGATGCTTTACATCCAGCATGCCTTGATTATATATATGTGTGTGTGTTTCTCACAACAAACATGTCATAACATGGTTCAAATAATATTTCTAACAAAGGGCTTTTATTGATACAAATATAAAGATATAAATTAAGATATAAAAAAAAGGGCTTTTATATAATAATGAGAAAAATGTGTCAGATCTGGTTAATCTAGCACAAACTTCAAAATATCACTCACCCCAATTTCAGTCTTTATTATAGGCGCAGGTACTGATATAGGATCCTCTTCTTCCTTCACCTCACTGACAAAGTATATTATGTTCCTCTTATCTGATTCAGGGTGTGAGTAGTTCAAATCTAAATTAGGCTGTGAACAAATTCATCAGGATATAAAATATTTATTTTCCACGTGCACATTTCATTAACTTCAATACCCACAATACCGAAAGTATGCTCTAATAAAGGTCGCCTTCATTCAATGCAGAAAAATAAAACACTGATGAAAGCAGATGAGCATTCAGTATTTCTACAAAGGAAGTGTATTCTGACAAACCTTCAGACATAAAGTACAATCAACTGTTTCACTGAGTTGTTAACCAACAATAAACAACATAATAAAATGCAGTAACAAAGATGGTTGTCTCCTAGGTTTTAGTACTGTGTAGTCTAGTAGACATTTACCAATGTTTCCATGGCGTCAAGTACCTCTGAAACACTGGTAAACTTCTGCCACACTACACAGTGATGGTACCCAGAAGACAGCCATCTTCATACTCGCTGCCAAGAGAACCTCAAATCCCACAAAAGACTGTACTATTAAAATCTATCCTTTATCTAGCTTTTCAACTGGTGTTCTTTCCATTTCACATTGATAGTAGTTCTATTTACTTATAAAACAAAATTGTTTTGTTTTGCAGTATCATGCATGATTATGCTACCACCAATAATGCCCATTCTTTGTAATTTAATTTAGTATGTTGTTTCACATATTAAATTGGAGAAATTAATATTGATAAAAAAAATTTAAATGAAAAGTAGACAAGCAAACCCACCTCATCTTCTTGTTTAATTGTGGGCATACACTGTTTTTCCTCTTTCACATCATTGCAGATTGATGTCACATGAGTTTCACAATCTGAATCAGGTTCCACTTTAATTACATCCATATTGTGCTGTAAAATAAGTTCTCCATATCAGATACTAAAATAAGGTCTTAGAATGTACAACAATTTACTGCTTGATTTCATATCTTTATAAAATTCAGATGATTCATTTCCCACATCTTCTAACTGTGCCTCACTTCCCGTCACACAGGTCGGAACAAAAGCAGAATCTTAAGTGCAGTGCTGATAATTACAAGTATAAGTGTCCACCAACAATCGGTACTTCTGAATATTTCCAAACATTCAAATGCATGAATGTCTAATAGGACAACATTTTTCAACTAATCTGAGAATTTGGAAGTCACAGAAACCTTTCCTTATGATACCTAATTAATTCAGAATCTTGCTTCATAATTGATGTGTTTAAAAATGTTGGTAATGCTACAGCTATGATTATATCAATAAGGTCCTTTAAGGACCAAATATTTGTGATCTACACAAAACTGGCAGAATTTCTGCTATATTATAATATTCATATTAATAGATAGTAGTTGGTAAGACAAAAGATTCTTATTGCATAACAGCAAGCATTCCCAAAAATTAATATATACAAAATTTGTCAATATAATTTTGATTTGTTGCCAATGTTTCAAAATATTTGAACTTTTGTGACACTTCTAAAAAATCCACTGGCTACTATATAATAATAATAATAATAGGGATTGTCACTCCCATCTCCAGTCTAATGTTATCCATGATACAACCAGTATAAGCAGTAAGCTATAAAACTATCTAAAAATCTGTTAAAGAACTCAAAATATACACATACTACAAGTTAATTTAGACACTAAAATAAAGAGACCCTTAAAATAAATTAGAGTTACACATCCTTATATTCAAGTATATAGATGTCATATATTTCATCAATATTAGGTGTCCAGAAACAAGTATACACACTAATATTCATATTGTGATCGTGTATATAGCATAATGTATCGATATAATTGTCACATCGGACAATTCAGTGTGTTATCCCAGACGATGCAGGTCTACAGTCTTTACTATAATGTCAAACAATAAGCCATAACGTAACAATAAATCTCGTTACTTACGTATACTTTTATTGCTTCCGACATACACTGACACAAAATTCTCCGACGCCAATTACAATTTTACAACACATTCAGGTGTCATCTAAGAAGCCGTGACAATAGCCTGGTTAAAATGGAAATAACGTCAGCAGAAAGTACTGCTTAATGAGCTCAATAATTTGTGCACAGTACAAACCACGATTGTCAAATCAAGTTATATATAAGATGAGCAGGGGATATAGCGTGGTGAAGAGATAACTAGACCGGGGTTCGATCTCCGAAAGAGCAGGATTTTCCTTGTACAACACGTCAGCCCAACCTACTTCCTATCCAATGAGTATCACGGTTTCGCGATTCTCCCCCCTCCCCCCGCGAGGGTAAAGTGCGGCAGGGGCGTGAGTCTGACCACTCATCCCTATCTAGTACCATGGATAATAATGTTCTCCCCCTACGAGCCCACATGGTGTATTGTGGGTCGGCTTTACTTTTTAATTTCACAAGCGAAAAATGTAACTCAGTACTGCAAAACAACTAAAAGATTTTGAATAGGCATGCAAAAATACAAAAATATACATGTGTAAGAAATATTTATAATTATACACATCAGAGAAACACTTCTATAGTAAATAAATATAATATTAAGACATACAAAGAAAATTGAATTTCCACCAGTAGCCACAAGATCACTTTACACTGATGATTAAGGGAATATATTCATCCAAAATGTAACCACCTATAAGACCACATGGCATCACAACTAAAAAGCCACAACTGACATAGATACAATATCAGATTATATTACACAGGTAGGTAAGAAGGGGGTGGAAGGATAATGATGTTTGAGTTACATAACCCACAGTACATTATTCAAACATGTAAGATAAACATATTGTAAATTACATAAACAGGTACACTACACTTCCACCTTCTGAGACACAAACTTTGCACATCTGATACTCAAAAGACTATTGTCCATTACGGTCCCCAACAGACTTACAGTAAAGCACTTCAGAGTTTAGAGTTTTATCAACAGGGTGGGTACGAGCATGTACTACAAGAGTAGAACGCTGTCTGAAACTTTTATTGCATATGATACAGGAGAAAGGCTTATTTCCAGTATGGATATAAGTGTGTTGCACCAAAGTACTATGGTGAGAGAAACTTTTATGGCAAATTCCACATGTAAAAGGCCGAATTCCGGTGTGAGTTCGGCTATGTTCCTGCAGAGTTCCTTGTTGTGTAAAACGTTTTTTGCATACTTCACAGCTAAAAGGCTTGTGTCCTGTGTGGGTCAAAGTATGAAGTGAAAGGTGTGCACGTTGTGTGAAACTTTTCTTGCAAACTTCACAACTGAATGGTTTGTGCCCTGTGTGGATTCGTGTATGAAGAACAAGATTCCCATACTGTGTGAACTGTTTTTTACATACCTCACAACTAAAAGGTTTATCTCCTGTGTGAGTACGAGAATGATCTGAGAGTGATTTGCGATGCACAAAGCTTTTATTACAGATACTGCAGCTGAAAGGTTTATCACCAGTATGGATACGAGTGTGTGCTACAAGAGACGCACGTTCTATGAATGTTTTACTGCAGACCTCACAGTTGAAGCGTTTGTCCCCAGTGTGAATCCGAGTATGACGCACAAAGCTACCACGGTGTGTGAACAGCTTCTCACATATGTCACATCTAAAGGATCCCATGCGAGGACTAGTGTGATTTGCAACAGTGGATACTCTGTTATCTATTTCAGAGCTAAATATCTTAATGGGATGAAAAGTAGAAGTATGACGCACAAGGGAGTTATTGTGGCTGAAGTGTTTGTTGCATATATGGCAGCTGTATGGTTTATCACTTGTATGGGTACGGGTATGGATTGCAAGGTGGTGGCGAAGCCTGAATCTTTTGCAGCACACTTCACAGCTGAAGAATTTATCTCCTGTGTTGATGCATGAGTGTGCTACCAGGTTCCCATTATTTGAAAAGTGTTTGTGGCATCTTTCACATTCATGTACCTTTTCTCCTTCACTCTTATCGAGTTCTTGTATCAAATATTGGTCAGTATTCATTTCACTATCAAAATGCTTAATGCCTAAGATAACAGAGCTATTCAAGTTTTTATCATGTGTTTCTTCAACATACGAGTCATTCTCATGACTAATGTTTGCTTGTCTAATGTATCCTTGTTGACTGTCAGTATACACACCAACATCTGTTGTAATACTGCCCTCAGCAGCATGTTGATTACTCAGATCCCCTCCACTGCTAAAGAAAACAGACAATGTCAAATGCACTACAGAAATGCTAACAGTTTTTACAAAGCTGCCATTAATTTCAACAATAACAAACAATGTACAGCAGACTTGAAGCTAGTCAAATGGTTGTGGCAGGCAAGGTGGCATACACAAAAAGAAATTAAATCATTTTGCATTTGAAAGTGCCACTGGGCATGAAAATGAACTGTACATTTAATGAACCATCATTATGATTCTCAGATCACATTCAATACTAAATATCATATGCATCAAATATAACACTATTATATATTATATAAACTAACACTAATCCACACATGGATAAAGCAGAACAAGACTGCTACTGGAGCATAACAATAAGTGCGTTCATTTACAGAAGAACATTTTGTTACAGTAGCTCTTTGAAAAAGAAACAGTAAGGATGAACGTAAAAATAACAATGATTACATACACTGATCAGGATTATTATTATTATTATTATTTAGTGTTCTGTCTGACGACAGGTCCATATGAACAGGATCCTTCCATCCTTTTGTCGGACTGGGACCTGTTCATATACGTTCTTGGCAGATGATCCAGAAGTGGTTTGCCATTGCCTTCTTCTGTGTGTGAATGGAGTAATTGTTGGGATGCCAATGAGGAAAACTCCGTGTTGCCTAGGCCACGGCCTTGCCCAACACAAGTTAAAAATTCGGGCACTGCCGGTAATCGAACCCGAGACCCCAGGATTACAAGGCCAGCGTTCTAACCGCTAGACCACGATCAGGATCATAACAAGGAAAATACATTTCTAATATTCATCCAACTGTTACTTACAGAATTATTAAAAGTACATTTATGCTTATAAATGCACAATCTTGTCTTACAGAAATATAAAAGAACAAATATATCACTGCCTCTTCTACTTTATTATTTACATCCATTTATGTGGCGTAACCCACTTACAAAACTGATGTCCTGGTGACCAAGTCAAAACAATATAACCATTAAGTCTGATGTATAGGAAATGTCACTAGCAAATTCCAGATAAGTTGTTGGTGGTCAACCATTACAACTGATGTTGACAAAATGCCACTTCATTTTATCTCATAAAACTGGAGTCAGGTTGATGAATTTGTTGCAGTAATGCAGATCAAGTGGTGGATATGTATTGATTTTTGCCTATCAATTATGAATAATCAGTGACTGTGTGCAATTATTAATAATAATAACCACATTATTCACTTGAAAATAAACCACTTGTTCTGTTATAATCTTAAACATGCAATTCAAAATATAGCCAGATTACCTGAATTTATTCAGTTAGCATGCAGAAGATAGTAACATTAAAGACAATTTGGATAAAAGAATACTATATTACTACTATAGGTTTACTTAGAAGTAATATAAATGCCACAGAAAGTATTTCAAAGGCAAAACACATTTATTGTCATTTATCTGCTAAATAATACAATAAGCAAATTATGGTTTAACTGTGATTTACATTCTTGTTCTGATATTCATAATATATCCCGAAGATGTGCCATTCCTAATCCTTGCTGATTTTACACAAATAAGTCATAACATCATGCTCACCTGGTTGGACACATTTCACATTCCTCTGTTCTTACTTCATTTTTGACTTTTGTATTTTGTGCCTCTTCTAGCTATATAAAGAACATTCAGCATGTAAATTATACCTAATGTTATAATGAAAGGGGAAAAGAAAGGAGAGATGTTAACATTTTACAAAACATATCATAAAGAACAATAAATGCACAATACATGATGTCACAGAAAAAATAAACATGTACAGTATGTTGTACAGGACAGTTAATGCAGACAGGTTGTGGCTTATAGTGAAACAAATGGACATGTAATACGTGCATATGGCCAATCTGGAGGCATATGACCATAGTGTTACTACTGGTATTACTTTTTAGAAAACTATCAAACTATACTGGTGGGTATAACACTAATACTAATGAATTTTACAAAGCAACACAGTCTACTACAATAAAAACTCCGCCATCATTGTTGAATCCCACTCACAACTGAGGACCCAAAATTACTTGTGGTAACACAACCAACCTATCTGTAGTAACAAAAATGCAACCACTGACTTTCAGAACAGTGACATATTAAATATTTCTGGCATAGTGAAACTGACAATGCAAAGAGGTATATTTTTTTTTTAATTTCTGATCTGAACTGTTTTATCTGTTAACTGTTGACAAATTAATGCATGTGAGTTGACTATATACTGAGCCATATGAACATTGCTGACTGGTGAGTGTGGAGGTCAAACCAATACTATGTTTAAGTCTCCACCACTGATATCACTAACCTGAGTGAAGATTCCTCTTGTATTTCACTGTTCCCTCAGAGATATACCACGCCAATGTCACTTATGATAATGGTTTCCCCACCTCACTCACATCTCATTGAACACATTACAGCCATCTGAATTGCATTCTGGAGGTACACAGTTTATTTCTTAGTCATGGACAACCACTAGAAATTCTTTGTGGTTACATGTACCTTAAAATACACCTCGATCTCTACTTTTATATTCAATATTCAACACCGATAGCATTCTACAATAATTACGATAAAGCATCAGTAATTGATACAGCATTTAAAAATAATTGATTAGCACACTACTTTATGAGCAAGAAATTAGTTTAAGGCTATGTGCCAATATTGTACTACAGCAAGTAAGGCAACAGTATAAAATGTTAATAAATCTAACAAATAACAATAACTGAACCTAACCTCAGTTTCTGTCCCTACTACAAAGAATGTTGCATGTACAGAATGATTATCCTTCGTATAAACCAGGCAATGTTCATTCTGTGAAGATATTGGGTGTATCTCTTCATCCGAATTAGGTTCCTCTTTAATTACCTCCATGCTGTGCTGTGAAACAACAATAATTATATAGCCTAGTTCGGAAAACTACATTCATTTCATTACACTCTATTATACACAAACAAAACATAAACTATCTATATCTGATAAAATTATGAGCACAAAGCCATATAATGTATATTATTTTATTTTTCACAAAATGAAACTGACTCGTCTGGAAAAGGCAAAGTAAAAAAGGAATACTGCACCTTTCGCCGGACTGCTGGATCGGGTCTAGCCAAACTTATATATATGACAGTAAGATTAATTGCTTTGCGTATTCCTATTCAGAAACTGTACAGGGCCAATATAAAGCTGGGCGTCAACAAATCCTTCGCTACAATGCTATGATCCCACTTTGTCCTTTCCCACATTAACTTTACCAGTTAATGCATTTTTACGCATAAATTTATTTTCAGTGGGCGACTGAAAAGAGAGGTAGATGCGAAGAAATTAGGGTGCTGAAATTAGCAAATCCGCAGGCGTTCTCAATGGGCGTGGCTCCATAAGCATAGGTAAAAAAACAACAAACATCCTTGACATATCAGAAATTCTTTCAATATAAAATCATAACTTGTGTCTACAATATGTCTCAATTATAAAATTATCTAATAAAGTAGAGTGTTTTACGGTGTGCTTATTTATGATACAAAGCGACCGTTTAATTCGTTGATTGTAGTGAAGTATTTCATTGGTTCATGGAGAACGGACTGTTTGGTTTATTGTAAATATCACCTCTTATAAAGAAATTTTAAGAAATAATTATTTGAGATCCGTTTCTGAAATGATGTCGATAGGTGATACCAAAGAGCCTCCACATATTTCTATGTTCACCACATCCCGCTTTGGTGGATGTTACAAAATTTATTTCGAATCATGACGGCCCTGTCCTAACCAATGATTCTATATTCCTCGGGATTAAAACTTAAAATTTGATGGCCTACAGAGTATATGTGTACCAGACCCGTCGATGTTTCAAATTAAAATATTCATGTTGGTGAATGACTGCTCAAAATCAAACTGAAGCATAACTAATGTTTCTCCAAAACGTTTACCTATGACTCCACATGGCATCACAACCCAGAACACATATCTTCACCACTGTGAGAACCTCAGATTTCACTTTCTACATCTTCTTTCTTTTGCAATACCATTTAACAGCCCATCAACCATACTAACTAGTAAATAATATAATAATATATACTCCTACTTACTTTCTTTTGAATATCATAATTATAAGTTGATTAAGAATATCAAATCACTAAGTTTCATCCAGTAGACTGAGTTACTTCTGGTCCTTGCACATAACTCTTGGTTTTTTAAATTAAAATCTGCTATATTTGGGCAACAAAGACATAAATCTCTGTATACAGAGTTAAAAAGAGGCACTGAAACATGACTAAATCAAGAATTTGAAAGAAAGATAAATGTCTATTAAAAACAAATTACTATCAATTGAGGAGTTTTTATGAGCTCCCCTAGAAAACAGATCAAGAAACATGGGCTTTGGGTTGGTTAATCCAAAGTTGGGTGAATTTGACTACAGACCTTTACTTTCACAGATGTTAACATATTTAAACATTAGAGTGATTCAACACTGCATACCTTCTGATGAAGAGGTCATCAACTCCATAATGAAATACTGTATCCCTACTATGCAACGAACAATTCCAGATGTAACAGGTCATTATTATTAACACAGGATAATGAAGAAGAGTAAGGGTTATATAAGAGGTGTGGGAGTAGAAAGTGTAGGTGGTTAGGACGATGATGATGAAACTGATTTTTTTTTGTTTCCATCAAGAGTGGCTGTGTCAGGGACAAAACATGCCTCTCTGAATACTAACCTAATATGGTAACAAACTGATCTAGTATACTTTTACTTTACAAATTTCTTTTTCCATCTGATACAGCAACAGGTGCTGAATCCAGATGCCTTTTAATAATGCATGAAGCTGTTGTCCTGTTAGTATTGGTCATTTATATATATTGTACCATACATGTTACTGTATATAAAGTAATAACCTCCAGAAATAAAAATATCTTAGTAACAACTATACTTATTTCTTTTGGAAAATTTAAAAAATACTGTATACACAACTGTAATGGAATGCAACAATTAGCTGGTGGCCTTATATCGCTCATCCTGAAGGAACCATTCTCGTTTCTCCGTCACATGGTGCTGCCAGTAATCTGAAGCACACAAAAATCTGTTCTGAAATGTTACCTGTACTGAGAAATTGTGGAAGCTATACAAATGATAAGAGAGATTGCCTGATTTATTAATGTTTACACATTTTTTAATATATAAAAAGTAAATTTAGACTCCCAATTCTTACATATTACTTTCCCGTCTTTTGGTGACTCACCAATGAGATCCTGCAGTGTGCCATCTGTTCCCCCATATTCTCTAGGCAGGAGTTCAGGTTCCACAACAGTATGCAATGATGCCAGACTGCATCCATGCACATGTACCTGACATATGTCATCAAAGTTTACTTGAGTAAATTTAACAACACATATTTTTAATACAAATTCAAGTTATTGTGGCCAACAATGGCAATATAAGCCATTCAGCTTCATTACAGACAACAAACTAACATTCTCTGCATTCAAACTTACATAACTGTCTATAAAAGGGTATGAAGGTGGAGATTGGATTCAGTTAGCTCAGGATATTAATCAATGGCAGACTTTTCTACACACTAATAAACATCAAAAATCAGAAACATTTTGACCATGCAAGTAGCAGAACTAAGAGGGTGGTTAGAAGTGTTAAAATACATATTTCCAACACTTAGTACTTACCCTCTGTCGCAATTTCTCTGTCATAAAGCGGCGAAAAATATTAAGCACAATGTTGACATGTGGAGGTGCATTCACAAAATCTAAACTCTTTGTACGTACAGGATAGCAGTTCTAAGGAAAGAAGCCAAAGGAATTAGAAACACCAGACTTGTAACAGCCTACAAGCTTCTACTATAATTATAATTTAAATAAAAATGGTGAAGTTATTCAAATGAAATTAAAGTTTACTTTCTCATTCAAATTCTTCTGCTTGCTGTATCCTGTCATAATTCATGTAATATTTAAAATGCACATAAAAAATAACTTTCCATAACTTTACAGCAGCTACTGAAACAGTGAGCTACAACATTCAAACAAACTTGTTAATAACATTCTGTGACAAACATTAAACATTTGTGATTTATATAATAATATCCAGAATTCTGATTCCAAGGACCTACATGTTAGTATAATTTGCTTCCATTAATTCTGCTGATTGAAAAAGTGTTGCTAAACAAACAATAAACAAACGCCATAAATTTCTGATACAAGTGTCTGATCAATAAAAACCATGGATATGTGGGGAATAAGACAGCCACTACCCCATACTGATTACTTGTTCATAGAAAAAAATAATCAACAGTATCAATAATATACTGTATAGTCATTGTATTCATGGAGAAGCCAATAAACAATACAGATATACACTATGCAGAGACATAAAATATTTTTCCTTGTATTTAATCAAATGTTGAAACAATTATAGACCATAATATCTATATTTTACGCCACATTAATATCTTTTGTGCAATATAATGTTCTGTGAAATATGTTTAAATTTGGTTTGATCTTCATATAAAGTAGGGTTACATTTTACTAATATGGGCCAACATTCAATGAAATTTTGGTTAGGATATGAAATGTAGATGGAAAGAAAGATGGGGATGATTTCAAGCACTTTTTGCAAAGAACACAAAATTTCATATTCTCACATGGAAACATACTGATTTATCAAATCAACCACATTTTACTGAAGCAACTAAACTGTCTTAAAAAAGATGGTACAAACCTGCCATGCATGCACAGCCTTTTTAACTACATGAGGAGGTAACTGCATGGCATGACCGAGAGTAACACCACTCAAGTCAAACACAGCTGCTACACCAAATACTGAGACTGTTTCATCATCTTCCAGTGCCAATTCCAGTGTCATCTTCCCAACCTTGAACACATCACTTTGGCGGTGCTTTTTTGGATCATGAACAGCAGCACGAATCAAAACCACAAGCCGCCCATGGGAATCCCGACGTCTCAAAGGAAGGAAAACCCTAAAACAATTAAGAACAAAGTACATTTTGTGTTATCTGTAAGCATACAAGAAAGGAAAATACACAGAGCAGAAATCACAATAATGTTCTGATATATTTAACATTTTCCACACTGCTTGCACACTACATGTAATTGATGATACAAAAAGAAATTTAATTACCACATCCCCTAAAATAGTTGCCACTTCTCTGTCCTATTTTTTAAATTGTTACACCCAACTTATCTGGAATTTTCTGACATGTGTAGTCAGTTTGATTTCAGACCTTAGTTAGGTATATGGAAACAATAAATATGTTCTAATTCTTGTTTTGTAACAGTGGTATGGCGGTAACCGGTCAGTCCATTAAAGATGGCACACACCTGCAATAAATGTTGGCCACATTAACATATCAATATTTAACATTAATCCTTTTTTAATAGAAAAAAATGTCTCCATAAATACTGTTAAAAATGACCAGCGACATTAAGCTTAGTTAGGATTCTTGTTGTTTCTCGGCACTACAACCCTGTTGTGGGTTTTCACAGCCTCCTTTTTTCAGAGGTTTCTTGGTCTTGAAGTGTGCACTTATGAGTAGTGAGTGACCAGCCCACTGACTGCACAATTTATACTCAATAATGATTTGACTGCCAGAGCCATCTAGCAGTTAATCAGGAGAGTTTTGGGTAAGAAATGACTGCTGAATTTTTCTTACAAAACATCTCGTATCATGCTCGTAAGGTTCTTTTATATGCCGTAAATCTACAGCATGGGACTGCCAGCTTTACTTTCCCTCCGAAGGAAGTTGTGCTACCGATTTTATCACCCTTAAAAATCCATTGAACCCACGAACCTTGGGTCCAGTGGTGAGCACACTAACCACTAGTCCACTGAAGGCAACAGTTAGGATTCTTAGTTCCATGAAAAAAGGAATAACATAGTTCAATGGAAGTGCTACTGACATGCCATATCCTAGATTAAAAACAACTTATAAGGATGTAGTATAACTGGGAAGGCTGAGCAGCTCTTAGAGATTGCATAGGGAGTCTACAATCATATCCCATAGGGATTTACACTTACAGAGGGAGGCAGTAGTTTAAACAGTGCCTTACAACTGTAAGTACATTACCCTGTTGTGTTGTGTAGTGTACTCATGTGTTGTGAAGTCTGTGTCTATGAACACCCTGATAATGAACAGTATGACACCTACTACCTATAAAGTGGTCACAATTTACATCTTAGTGTTGTGACCCTTAAATCAACTTAGATATATTCTGTAATAAGATCACTGTTATACTGCTAGCCAACATAGTTTACCAATTCAAAATAACACATGAAATCAGAATATCCCACAACTGAGCCAACAAAGAGCTGGCATCTGAAAAAATCATCCCCAGACTAAAGGCTACCAACCACTGGAAAGTCACCTGTTTTTCAAGATGTATCAAGTTCCAAAGCCAAAAAGAAGCATAATGGAGGGCAATGTGAAAGATCAAAATTGAAATATATAATAATGGACCAGGTATAGGTTATTGTTTTGGCTGTGGACCACTGATGATGAAAGTATTTACAGAACCCCATGCCAAACCAAGAACTACAGGTTTAACAACATAGAACAGGACACCTTCATATGATCTGATGGTAGGAAATAAATAATTCTGAATTATACAACCAATTTCCTTTTGTAATATGTCAAAACACACTTTTAGGTTCCCTATTTCATTAAATACAATATCTAATAAATCAGTCTTCTTAAATTTGCTTGTAGCACATGTAAGTTTAGCATCAAATGTCAGAGGGTAACTCATCACACTGGTCTGCACTGAACAGTCCTTGCTACTTATTCAAAGCACTGATGGAACAAAAAAGACAACTGATGACATACAATATCAATAATTTTCACATTCCCTTCCAAAATACACCATTCCTTTTCATTATACCTTTATTAAAACACAGGCTTTTATTTCACTGTCCTTATATTTTTATTGTATTCATCATCACCCTGATAACAGTGGCACTAGGCTCCTGTGAAACGTCTATCATCTAACAGACTATACAGTGCAACATCCCAGAAGACAGCCACCTTCACATTAGCCACTCGGAGAACCTCAAACCTCACCTGCATAATAATGAGCTTCACAATTTGTGCTTTTACCAAACATTATTAGGAGAAGAAGGAGTATGAAATAGGTGGGGCACACACAGGGAAAATCAGAAATGCATACAAACTTTTGGTTGGAAAGCCTGAAGAGACTACAAGGGGATCTTAAGGAAACAGGGTAGTAGTGTGTGGCCTGGACTGATCTGGCTCAGGACAGGAATCAGTGATGGGCTCTTGTATCCCAAATCAGATTGTTCTGATGTCATTGCCACTACAGAGACCTAGAAAGTCACATCAACAAGTGCATGTTAGACTTTGACAGCTAATTCCTAACAAATATCCTATCATATTGAAGAAATACATGCAGCATTAACTATATAGCATATTGAATTCTAAAAGTCTTATCTGGACCTTTTAGATCTTGCAGTTCACAGCAACTCACCCAAGCTGAAGCAGCTCTTGAATTTCAGGCAGACAGGGGTCTCTCTGGCTAAACCATTCAGGACAGTGGGCTCGTAATTCATAGTAGTTACTAAGCTTGCGTTTAGTTTTTTCAAGATCAAACTTGCAGCCACGTAGAAAACGTACCACATTTACTGGATCTGAAAAAAGAAGAATTATGCATAGGAATTTAAAGAAATTAGTACCAACAATATTACTGCATTCATGTTCACAAATTTTCAGGCATTTGGAGTCATCACTAATGGAAAATTTTTAATGAAGACATTATTAAGCTATATGATTCTCCATTTATAGGTTCAACTCTCTTCAGTGTTCAGGAGTTAAGATAAGATGTCCATTACTTAACAGAAAGTTTTGTTCTTACTTCTGTTCCAAAAAAATAAATTTTGTATGGTCAATCCCTAAGCAATTAATTAAGCAATTAATCAAAAATAATCAAGAGTTATGTTCTATCCTCTGTAACTTTAACAAATTTCAAAATTCAAAAACTTCTGAAATCCTCTGCCCCCATCGGGGATCGAATCCCGGTCACCCAGTCCATAGCCAGTCACAATACTGACTGAGCTACACCACCTCATACCTTCATATGATAGGAAAATTAATAATGCCAAATTACACAAAAAGTTTCCTTAGTATACTCATGAGTTCCATCAGGTATATTATTTGTGTCTAGCAGCAATGGGTGGACAATGAATTTTAAGTAATAATGCATATCCTGGTACTTATAAATGTCACATGAGGGCAGGAACAGCTTTAAAATTTATAATCTCAGTAGAAAAATAGCTTTCAGGGTGGTGTCCATAATGAATTGTACAGCAACCCAGGGTTTCATGGTACACAGTTTGAGAATTGCTTTTCTGCATCATCAAATTTAGAATAAGGTATGATACAAACCACGTCGAGCATGAAGGTGTGACTGTCCCTGCAGCCAATCCAGTATATGACAAATGTCACTGTCCCTTTTCTCCTCATTTTCATGAAGATATTCAGCTGCATGCTGTTTAGCTACTGGAGGCAATGAACATATGTACATTTCCCTCTTTGATGCCATCCTATGAATTATAAAGTGACATTACTCATACACCAAGACATTAACACTAATATCATAAATGTCTTCTAATAAAATTTGGACTCTTGTGTCATGCAAAACAACTTTCCACTGACAAGTCTATTTTTAATTTATCTTTTAGGAAATACTGTTATTACTTACTCTGAAACATTAAATTGCAACACATTAATTCTTAATCAGCTTTCATGTGTCAATATGACTGCTGCACAATTCTGAAAAGGTATTGAACTTCAAAAATCTGCCATAACATATTTCACTTGGGCTCTTCCTTTACAAGGCTGAACATAATCAAACACTTGTCAGTTAAATTAATCTGAGGAAGGTATACTTCAAATCTGTCATAAGTTTTAAACATAACTGACAACTCTGGTATAATGGGGCTAAGGCTGCTCTCCTCTTGTAAGATAATATAATGTACGCTGACCTAACCTGCAACATCATCATTACAATTACAAGAAAACTGGAGTTACTATTTTCATCGGGTCCTCAGAAGTGTGAAATGACCCAAGCCCCAAAAATATTTTGACAGAATTATCTGGAAGATGTAACTGAAAACCCACAACCATTACACAATGACGAAGGTAATCGAGAAAAATTATTCGAAGTTTAAAACATACCTTTCTTGTGATAAGGTATATGATCAAAGCCCCTATATTCTAACACGACACAAAGTTATGTAAAATCGTACATGTTAAATTCGTTATGTAAAATCGTACATGTTAAAGTGGTCGGTTCCGTCTTAACTTTGCTACAACGAATGAGTCAACTCAATACGAAAGTCATCTTGCAACATGTTATTCAATAAAAATGGACTGAATTGATTTAATCTTACGTGTCTACATTTTTATTACGATTGACAGCTCATTACTTCAGCGCCAAGTTTCGGGAAATATAATAACTACCCGCTCAAACATCAATTTATCATCACCTGCGTACTCTGGTGTGCATTGTTAGAACTTCATGCTGATGAGAAGATGTTCTTTGTCTCTCCATCATCATGGTCACACTAACTCTGAAACGTCGGCAAACTTCTACCACACTACATGGTACTACAAACCCGAAAATACTTCATACTCACTGCCATTTGAACCTCAAACCGTTCATGCTGATGTGACTCATGATAGCCAAATTTCATAAGTACACTTCTTTCACATTTATTCATACAATTCTCTTGCTCATCAAATGAGTAAATTTTCCCAATAGTTCTCACAATTTAATAAAAACGGAGAGAATAGGTCATTGGCATGCAATTGACTGGCAAAAGTAAACAGTGAATTTTAATGCTATTGAAACTTCTTTGAATACTATAATTATTACACTGTTGATACTAAGCCTTCATCAAAATTTACAACTTTTAAATTAGCATACTCATTAAAATTTGAACCTTTTACAGTACTAAGATTTGAATGCAAGTCACTTCTCAGTATATTATTCGTGTATAAAAAGAACAGGCCGAAGGGGGCAAAAAACTTGCCTAAATAATATTAAATAATTTTGTGAAATTCTTATGCTTGAAAGCTTAAATAATGAAGATTCAACAATGGAGATACCTAGCAGCAATCATAGATCATTAATTAAATGTTGTAATATTGCAATGTTGGTCAAACAGCTTGAAATTAAGGAGGAAAATAAATAAAACAGCTACTACCACAGAAACAAATAGAAAAAATCTAGAATTCATTTCTGAAATTGGAGCAACCACAGACGTGATTATGCCATTCCTGATAGGGTTGTTATGATAACAGTTGACAGCAGGGGCCTGTAGTTTAATACAAGGTCCAAACAATGGTGGTGGCTTGGTATAATTTACTTCCAACAATTTTCATTTTTTGCTTTAGTCCATTACCAGAAAAATCTGCACACAAATCTGAGAGTCAAACCTGAAACCCCTGAATGAGTCCAATGTCAAACCTAAGATATCGTGTATCCTAAAAGGAAAATTGAACAATATGTCTGAGTACTTATCTGTGAAAACGCTTACAAGTGACAGTCATATAAACTGTATTTTACTTACAGCTGTTGTGGTATTGATCCTAGAACATTCTTATCTCTGGTTAACTAAATGTGTGACTGGAGTACAGCAAGATAGGGCATTGTGCAGAAAGAAATTCAAGAAGAAAGTCATGATTATAGTCCAATTCTATAACTGTTATCTAGAGAAGACAAAAAAGGGCTCATATAGCAGCAATGTCAGTGTATTTATCCCCTTAACTTTTGAACCAACGTTATCTAAGTACATAAGCTGTGTCACTGGAGGTCATCTCATTGCTATATTTTCTAAATATTTTATGTCCATAAGAACAAAGTGGCAGCGATGTGAAACAATGAGGGCCTGATACATGGAGCCAACACAGAATTTGTAAATTCATACCACATCAAGAAGGGAAGCCACATATACCATAGTAATATTTATCATAAAGATAATATGGCAGGTGTCCTCACCATCAAAATATGTTTTAGCATCCAAAACAATTCTAAACATACCAATTTCATTCCTCCCATCTCCTTCTTGGTCTGCCTGCAATATTCTAAATTTCCCCATTTATTTCATGCCTCCTAGATCCAAATATCCACCTGAGCAACCTGTTTTCAAGTATTGTTTTATATATCCTGATCTTCAGTGTTTTGGATAGTAAACGAGATGATAACAGTTTTTGAAATGAATAAAACAAGCATTTCCCAATTGTATTCTACTCTTAATTTCATCAAGGACCTCATTTCTATTGTTCCCAGATACTTAACTTTTTAAATATTTTCAAATAATGTGTTACTTATACTTATGTTCTGCTGTTGTTGATCCGGTATTATGCCCATGTACTTAGTTTTGTTTACATTAACTTCTAGGCTTATTTTCTTGCCTGTAGGAGTGTTTCAGCATTTTTGGTTATGGTGCCCACACCATCCCAGATATAACCAACCTTAACTGAAATTCTTATGTACAAAATTATTATTACTGTAAGTGTTCAGGATCATGCATGGAACACTGGTAATGTTTCTTCTACCGCAGATTACATGACTATCCTCTTGAGTGTTAAACACATACATATACCAATTGTCATTAAAACTGGACAGTTAATTTATTTTTAAAGGTATAAGATTATATACTGCAGCAAAGAAAGACATGCACACCACTTGTGCTATCGGAACAATTAGATTAGACTATCCCATCATGGCACTTTTAATTTATTTCACAAAACACTGTGCATTAACACTGAGGGCCCAGTATACTAAAATGAATTCTATGCCAATGAGTTAATACCAAATTACGACAGGAAAACTATACTGGTCTGAAAATATTGATGTTAAAACTAGAAGCCAAATATGGTTACATAAAAGATAAATTATACAAGCAGAAATAAAAATACTATTTTATCACATTCAGTGGGATGAAAGAATGAAGCTTCACAGCTTTAATGATTACTCCACTGAACTGGCTATTTGTTATTGTGAACATACAATTAAATTTAATATTTTTCCATGAGTGTCACAGCCTTGTTTGTACTGTCACAGTTGAATAGGAGGCTTATGTTGTTCACCATCCTCCTCATAACCAATCTCAACAGATGCAAACAAAGCTCTGAAAACATCTCTTCATTTCAAGGGAAATGTACAAGTGAGTCATGTATGTGATTCTTAGGCCATTTGATTCTGAAACACAACAAAACTTTTTCAGATACGTATATAATGTTACTACTCTTTACTTGTAATGGATGTGTCAAAATCTGTAAGCCAACTGTAGCAATACATAGTTATGAAAAGAAAATATGCAAAATTAATTTATCTCTGAACCATCATAGGCTATAACCACACAATTATTTACAGATTGATAGCGTGATTAGGTTCTGAGAGATCAGAAACAAACAATTTCTCATCCCTGTACTTTTAAGAATTATTTGCAAATTTTTACATATAAAAAACATGCTCCAACATAAAATATGTACAAAATATCCCACAAAGTCACAACTTTGTTAATTTATATAACATTAGGAAATAATATACAAAAATGTCTTCGGCATATGTGCCGTCTAAACTGTACAATGGTTATATGAAACTTAATAGTGTTGACTATTTTTAAATTTTAATTAAATCAACTTTTGTTCATATGTGCAATTAGGGTAACATTTTATGAAAATGGGGCAAATGTACATTTACTTAATTTATTTCAATACATATCCAGTACTCAAATATTTTCAAACAAAAGTCTTACACTACAACAAAATAATACATTACATATAATATATTACATTTAATCCTTGAAGAAATCAACAATAATTAAATTAATGAAACAGCATTATGAGAAGACAGAATCACAAATAACATTTTTATATACAATCACAGGAGAAATTTAACCAATGCATGAAATGTTTGCAGCAACAGTCATTTCATTATATCATAGGTATACTGCATATTGTCCATTGTCTGAAGTATATTTGATACACATATAAGGGGTATAGCCAACTCCTGAAATGGGACATCATAAACAACTCAGTGGACAACATGCAACATGTGATGCGGGGAGAGAGAATAAAAAACCAGTAACACAAAATAAAAGAATGAATTGTAAAAGATCATTCAAAAACCTTAAATCAAAAGTAACTGCATTTACAGTTTTAAACGTATTTTTAAAACTGCTTTAATTTTCTTATCAAAATAAACCTGGTTATGAAGGCATACAAATTAAATTAATATTATGCTATAAGTCTGAAGATTTGGTCTTTTTCCATCATCTCATTTCATAACCCAGGCTCTGCTTGTCATCAGGTATGAGGGAGAAAACTACTCTGTTGGGGTCCATTAGATGGAGCTAATCTCCATTTCCAGAGAGATAGCTACATCTAATTAGCACAATGAAGCAGGTTTCACTTTTCTAGCTAATGACAAAAGCAGAGCCTGGCTTCTAACAAAAAATTTTATACAAAAAGCAAGATGATTGAAACAGCCAAAAATATATACCAGTATAATAATATTATGCTACCTATTTTATGTATAAAATATAAAAAGAAAACTAATTTCTACTGACCTATCTGATAGTAACAGAATTCTTAACATTACCAACATTTTGCAGGCACATGCTGCCCCAATCTTCACCTTCCAAAACAATGGTAACTAACTGTCCACAAGTCCATACCACATAACTCAGAACACAACAATGACACCTTCACTGCCACAAGTACCTCAAAAAAATTCATAAGGTTATAGTATGAACTGATGATGACTGGCTATTATTTACATATTCCATGATTGCACTAACTTATCTGCTAGTAACAGAATTTTTAGTGTTTTGGAGGAACATACTACTGATATGCTATATATTACTGTACATTTTAATTTTATATATACAAGGATCTTTTGAAAGAAAAAGATATATCATACAAGAACAAAATCCAAGCCATATATATTCTAGCAGCAAAAATATTAGTGTTGAAATAACTGTACATTCTTATATCTTTTTCCTAATAATACTCTTTCTTTGTATATGCATTTCAAAACAATTTAGTCTCTCAATATAAGCTGTACATGTATAAGAGCATCTAAATTATAAGTGGGTTTCCGTGTGTTATATTTTTAATTCCAAAAGTAGCTTCAACATATATGCAATTTATTCTATTTCTGTAAATAAAACCATTTGTTTTATTTCATATTTTATTCTGGTTAGCAGGATCTGGATAATTATAGATTTTTCAAGTGACTAATTGGCAATTTTTGTCAGATACTTTGATTTCTCAATAGCCACCAGAGAGACATGCTAGTAGCTCGATCTAATCTAGGGCACAGATGTTTGTGTATAATTCTCAGCTCTGCCAATTATCATACTCACTGCCATCATCTACTCAATTATGTGGTAGAATGTGACTCATTTTCAAAACACAGGGCATATAGAAGGAATTTTAAAAGTGGTTAAACCACTGAAGCCAAAGTTATCTGAATAATATGAAAGAATTCTTTCCATACCAGAAAGAAAACATGACACTTCTATATTACAAAGATCAACTACTTAATGTTGTTTACAGTTAGAATCATAAAAAACACATAATTACAAAAGTGGCATTACTGACTGTTAAAGTAGACAGTTACACTGGGCTATAAAGGGTTAACATATTATATACTCAATATACATATATCCAGCAACGTGTACACTGTCCTAATAAATTTTTATAATTAATCATATGGTAAGATATGCATTTTTCAATAAAAGAATCTGGCAAACACAACAGATCATTTCTATTTTAAAATCTGAAAATAAAATTTTTTAAGCCAACATGTCTATCTATATATACATATGTCAGTTACATTTATTCACAGATTATAGTATACATCAGTCTCTTTACTAAACATACAGAGACATCCTTTGATAAAAAGAAATTAACAGACATTGCCGCCAGTAGCACACAAAATCTCCTTGTAAACTTTCTTACAACATGGGCATTTTCCTGGTTGTTACCAATGGCAAAGTACATTCAATTTTTCTAAGCAAATAACGTCTACATACAAGCATACAACAACACAAGCTCTACTAATATGATTAATACAATCATAATACTTGCTGTGGTTCAGTGTCTATTCTCAATTTCCATGTATTTATTTTAAGTTCTGAATTATTCAGAAATATCTTCTTTCTCTAAAAAACTGAAAGCTGTATAAAATCTGATTTCAGTTGTGATACAGAATAGCTAACTGTGATTAGACCTACTTATATTATGGCTCCCTGATCCAATCTACTCTGCATTATTGTAACTTTCAAACAACTGATCCAATTTTCCTATAGACCAAACCCTACTCACATTAGAGATCACCATTCATCTTATTCAATTATATAGTGACTCCATTCAATCGAGGAATCTCAGACATTTTCTTCTCCACATATTTGTGGTGTAACAAATGTAATACTGTCAATAAGCTGGAAGACTGGCCCCACATCTGTTAAGGGACGTGACCCTTCCTACACAGTTGCACTATAATTACAGCAGGTGCAAACCATAGGGCTTAATACCCTTCCCCCTTTTCTTTTTGTAACTATGCTCTCTTCTTACACATTACAGTTGCAGTACATGTTGATTCGTAATGCGTGTGATAGATATATCAGGAAGAGTCCGAGCTAATGGTCGCTGAATTCTCTTCTCAGGCTGTCCATTGCGCTGATGCCCAAACTCAAACCTAATTCGCAGTTCCCCGATCTTGCTGAGTGGAAGGATGTCAGGTATCCACTCTATGAGGAATGGTGTTGGCTCCTGCTGATCAGGCGACATATTGCCTGTAACATATGCCAACAAAATCATTCACAATTTTGTCTGTCCATGTATTCAGTGTGCTCTGTATTATCGTAAGTGTAACCACACAAGCACAGTATATTAAAAAAACCTGTGTGTCTGGTTGACTGGCTATAACTTAGGAATGTTCAACCAAAATTCTGTCTGTTTTCACTGTTGGACTGGTTGTGACGTAACTAAGAATGTAACCACAGACTCACATGTTGGGTAAAATCTCACACACACAGTGTAGGAAGACCTTGGGAAGAAACTGAGGAGGAAGAGGAAAAGTTGTGAGATGATCCAACCAAAGCAGAAATGTCTTTGGAGGAGGAGGAAGAAAAATAAAAAGAATAACGTATACTGTTGCTGGTGTCCCAACTTTTTACCAAATCTGCAGTTTAAACAAAATTCTGAAAAATTAAAATATTCTCTAAAATAGTGAATAACAAACAGCTATAACAAATGCTGAAACAAAGAAATTCTTGGAGCTTTTGCTATGGATGGGTGAACTGAAGGTCAGCATCAGAAAAGATTGATAGTCAACATCAAACAAGATTGGTATACTGACCAAACAACTGCCAGTCCTATATCTCTACCAACTGTGAGAAAGAACTGATTTGGAGCAGTATCACAAGCTTAATACTTCAGTATTAATTTTAAATAACAAACACTCTGGAAGACGGTTTAAAGTACAACCTGTTTAAAAGAAATACAATGGAAAATTCAGACTTTCATGCAATAACTAAGCATTACAGACATTATTTCTGTAACTTATGAACCAGCACTATGCACTAAATACTGTCCCACTCTTTTAAAAAAATTTGACTTACCAACTCTAAGATACGTTTTCAACTCCAGAGGTTTTATTAGAGGCTGGCTATCGGTTTTTCGGAAAGCCTCATTCTCATCTTTACGTCGATGGAAAGGTTCATAGGTACCATCACGATTCTCCACAAAGCTGCGGGTGATCTCCAATGGCATCTGAGGAATTTAGAACAGCATAATTCTGTCATAAATCACTTCCAATATTTTGATCAGAAATAATAATATAATTTTTTTTAAATCTATACACATATAAAGAAAAACTTTTAAAGTGGCCCTTCTATGAAAGATTCATGCTTTTTACAAATCATCTTGCTAGAGGTCCCATACTTTTAGAAACAGAACACTACCTATGTACTGATGACAATAAAATGTTATCCTTGTGAAACTGCATCATATCACCCACCTCTTGGACTGTAGTAGAGTGTTTAAACTATGCTTAAAACATTTTACTGCATGCTGTACAGTAGCAAGTCCACTTTTCATTCTTGAGACAGTACTCACCAATGGTGTCTCAAATATCTGCTTCACATGAATGATGTTTGTGATGTGCCATGTGTACTTGGTGAATGTCCCAAGTGGAACAGCATCACGTCGTACAAAGCCAGTTGTAAAGTTTGGTAATCGTTTCTTTTTCCCTCCGCATGAAATTCGTTCTCTCAAGCAGTCAAAGAACAACTATAAGAAAATAAGAAATGGCCAAAAATGTACATTTCTTCTAACATGTGAATTCATCTCAAAAAGTTCATTCTGAATAACTTTTCAACAGACAAGGTCTGGGAAATTCAGTAACATCCAGTTATAATTACATAATAAGATGATAACAGAGGTTTAGTTTGAGAACAAGAGATGTGCTTTCATTCAAATGTCTTCTTACAGAATCCAAACACTGAACAGTATAAAATGGAAATTATGCCAGAAGAAGAAAACCCAAATGTTTGATCACTACCACAAAATTAAACTGAACTATTGGAACCTATCCTCACTAAGTTCAATCAAGTATATATTCTTAAACCTATTTTAATACCATCCTCCCCAATTATACACCATTTTTGTAATTGGTTTCTTCCATAAGGTCTTCCAGCCAAAATGTACACATTTGATTCCTGCCACGCTACATATCTAATACACCTAAACCTCCTTCATATGATCACTCTTATAATACGAAGTGCAGATTACAATCAACAAAACTCATTATTTCATTTTTCAATTCATAATCAGCTAGTAACATGATAAAAAATGGTAACCTGTGGAACATGGAATACTAGTGCGTCTGGCTTCCCACTGAACTGGAAGTGCATTGCCTGATTTATCCTCTCTGTCACAGATGCCAACCACTGGATAAATGTAACGTTAGCTGCATTTTCATCTACTGGTTCTGGAACAAAATAATCCATTCCAGCAAACTGGAAGTAATATATTTTTGTGCAAATGTTTAATTATAACAAGTGCAATGATACACGATTCAGATAGACAGAAGACAAGAAATACACATTGCTAAGTTCATTAAACTGTAAGATATTATAAAATCAATTCCTTGTATATGTAAAAAATTAATAAAAATGCAACATGCTGACATTATGCATTTCTGAAGCATAAAACAATGTAATAACTGCTATACTGACCTTGTTTCCTAACTCCAATGGCAGAATTATTTTTCCTGGTAGAGTTTGGTTTTTTGCCACCCACCTCTTGCAATGGTGTCACTATGTTATGATCCTGCCGCTTACGTTTCACACTCAGCATCTGTAACAGTATTACAAAATCATAATGGTGACCTCAGCCTGTATCTCAGGGGCAATGTGTCTGCAATTTTCACTTGTGACATATATTTATACTTGACATGTATACTTTAATACTTCAGTAAATTTGCACATGCTTGTTTTATTTTCATTTCCTAAAAATGGAGTGTATGAAGTGTTCAAGGAAATATGTTGAGATGTAAAATATAACAAGTTTTGAATAAAATAATTATGAAGGAGTAAAATACCAACATGGAAATGACATGAATTTTCAATATGTTTCACAACTTCTGGAAGTAAATTGTAATGGAAAGTTTTGTTAAAAAAATATCAGGAAGTTAACTATTAATAAAAGCATTTGGGTAATCTCTCTTTAGATGAAAGTATTTAAAAATGGTGTCACAGGTTATTTCCATAACTGTGTTCATATTCTGAAGAAAAAATCTTTCAATTGATAAAGCCCTGTTCAGTTTTACATATGAAATCTTAAGTGCACTAAATAATAAAGTGCATGTTGGTGGAATAGCTTGTGATCTTGCTAAAGTATTTGATTGCGTAAGTCATAAATTATTACTATCATAACTAAATTTTTATGGAATTTAAAATATAGTTGGCAAGTGATTTAAATCATACCTTTGTAACAGTAAGAAACAAGTAGAAATAAAATCATCAAATTCAAATGATAGCACCTACTCAAATTGGTGTGTTGTAAAACATGGAGTGCCTCAAGGTTCAATACTTTGTCCTCTGCTTTTTCTCGTATATATCAATGATCTGCCCCCAACCATCAACTCTCATTTTAAACCAATACTCTTTGCTGATGATATTAATATTATTAATTCACATCCAAAAATTGACTGTTGTCAAAACTGCATAGATGATGTCTTTGCTAGATTGAACAAATGGATTAAAGCCAATAAACTCAACATTAATTTTTGACAAAATAAAATTCATTAAATTTTGTACTAACAACAGAACTTGTGTACATCTAAATACAGGGTATGATTATAAAATAATCGAGGAAATAGAAACAACTAAATTTCTTGGCCTATAAATTGACAACAAATTAAACTGGAAAGCACATATTCATTACATTATTTCTAAACTAAGCTCGGCATGTTTTGCTATGAGGACTGTTGCAGCACTCATGAAAACAGAAACTTTAAAATTAGTTTATTTAGCTTACTTCCATTCCATCATGTGATATGGAATCATTTTTGGGGGAAATTCAACGGACAGCAAAAAAGTATTTTACATTCAAAAGAGGATCATTAGAATAATGGCAGGCACTAAAAGGAGAGCCTCTTGTAGGGAATTATTTAAGAAGTTTAATATTCTTCCACTGAATTCTTGCTCTCACTATTATCATTTGTAGTGGATAACATGGAAAAATTTCAAACAAGTACAGATATCCACAATATAAGAACAAGATACAGATACAACCTTCATGTGCCAAATTCTAACTTCAGTAAATATCAAAAAGGAGTTTACTATACTGGAATTAAGTTATTCAATAATCTTCCACCTACTGTCAAAAGTTTAAATCATGATATAAAAATGTTAAAGCCAGCGTTAAAAGAGCATCTCCTATCTTACTCAGTAGAAGAGCTTATAAATACATGTAACAATGGTGATGGTTTCTCATCATAATTATTTTGTTGTAATACTGTAGTTCCAAAAATCTGTAAACAGCTGTTATAATGATGTATTTATATTTGTACTAGAAACAAGTATTTCATTTGTGCTATGACCTGTTCTACATCCTTGGCTTAGGCCTATGATATGATCTGTGGAATGTAAATAAATTCTATTCTATTCAACAGATGGTCAGACAAGAATTTTGTTATGTCTGGGTTCATCACCTCTAACTGCTGTGTTGTTTGTGTTGGCTGCAGATCTTCAGGTGTGTCTTGTAAGATACTCTCACTGAAGTTTAGAGAGTCTGGATCCATTGCTTGAATCTGAAATTGTACTTGTTCAGTGGACAACACTTCTAGGCCATGGACCTACAACAGCATAATTATCACTTACATCCTTAAACCTAACAGTAGCCATAATGATAATTAGAAGTACAAAAATTTGTCTAATTTCTATTGTTTACAGTTTAAAACTCCATGTGGAGGACACAAAGCAATCTGTTATCAAAGTAACACAGTAGTGAAAATATGACCTAATGATGTCCCTAAATCTCACTAGTACAATGACCTACAGTCCACAGATCAGGAGAAAATCCCTGCTAGGAATTCGATATACACGCATGCGCAAGATTTTGCGGTGAGTGACGACCGATCCTAAAAGCATTCGTTCCACAACCACTGAATGAACAACAGACAACAGGCTTTCATGTGTTCTAATGAGTACAGCTTTAAGATTACCTCACAGCGGCACAGTGATTTAATCTAGAATATTATCGCAATACCCGCAGAACACATTAGAGGTGCACTCACTACACGCTACTCTTAACTGCTTGATGTTTTCAGTCTGTGTGTAGTAGCATAAAACTCTGACGTATCACACTTCCCACCAATAGCACCCCTCTAGTCCAGCTGATAAGTAACATTCCCCCTGCACCGCAACAGAAACGACTTCCCTCAGCAAGGTTTTTCTCGTGATCTGTGGACAGTATGTGATGTGGAGTAAAGAACATCTTTGGAAAGTCAGTATATTGTAAAGTGTACACCTTTCCAAAATCTTGAATCTCTTAATATCAATTAATTTATAAGACCTTACTGTACACCTAATACTGTATATACACATTTTTATTACAATTAATCTAGTGACAAAATAAATACATAAAAGGTTTTGGTTGTATATAAAATGTCCTATCTACAGTCTACAGACCAGGAGAAAATCCCTGCTAGGAATTCGATATACACGCATGCGCAAGATTTTGCGGTGAGTGACGACCGATCCTAAAAGCATTCGTTCCACAACCACTGAATGAACAACAGACAACAGGCTTTCATGTGTTCTAATGAGTACAGCTTTAAGATTACCTCACAGCATCACAGCGATTTAATCTAGAATATTATCGCAACACCCGCAGAACACATTAGAGATGCACTCACTACACGCTACTCTTAACGGCTTGATGTTTTCAGTCTGTGTGTAGTAGCATAAAACTCTGACGTATCACACTTCCCACCAATAGCAGCCCTCTAGTCCAGCTGATAAGTAACATTCCCCCCGCACCGCACCAGAAACGAATTCCCCCAGCAGGGTTTTTCTCGTGATCTGTGGACAGTACATAAGTTTTGCAAGCAAAAATGTGTAATTTTGAATAGCCTCTAAGGTAGCAACTTTAGCCCTAAATGGTAATACATATTTCATTAGCATAAAGATAATAAGAAACAAACTGAAACCAGCTAACCAAAGCTAGCCTAGCCTAATGCAGCATGTTCTTACTGACATATAGCACTGCTATGAGGATCCTTTAAATGCTTAACATAAAGGTGATATAATAGGCTGGTTTTTATGCATTACCTGCCAGTCACACATCTACTTTCAGTGGCATGGGGATAACACACAAAAGACATTGATTCATCACTAATTTATATATGTGTTTTTGTGTAAGATGGGAGCCTTCCCAACAATATAAAACTTTAGTTTTAATTTTTATAACATTATTTTGTACAGAAAAAAAATTTCTATCCGCTTTTATAGTTTTATGGTATGTTCTGAAGGAATGTGACATGCACACACAAAGAAAATATCCTGAACTTCGATCTATAACAAATATTTCATCAAACAAGACATAAGATTGAAGAGAATTAAGCACACAGATTTACAGTACTACCTGTGCTATTGTAACATCATCAGCAACAGTGATGCCTGTAGCCTCTAGCAAAGCCGCCTCCTCTCTTAGAACCTCAACTTCAACTTCACAAGTTCCAGTCCCATCTTCATCACTCAGAATTGCCACCAGATGTTGCTGCTGTTCTGTAGGAGTTGTGGGGGTAGAGGGCAAAGCTACAGGAAACTTGTCGAGGTTGATGTAATATGAGAACTCTTCATTTAATTTCAGGTCACTAGCAAATGCGCAGATGCAAGCATAAAAATGAACACAACGCTTGAATGTAGGGTCTTCTTTGTTTGTGGCTTGCTTCACTTGTCCCTAGAAATAAATACACTTTCAGCTGAATATGATACTGAACATTAAGACTGCCATGTCAGAACACTAGGGGCAGCTTCACATGTGAAAATAAATTCAAGATGGCCCACTGGGAGACCAAGAACAGGATTTATGACACACAAAGTCTACCACTGGACCTGACCCAACACTGAGTTAGCACAATCCAATCCATATTAAAAAAATCCCATTCTTTTTCCTTCTAAATTAATTTACTTGCTAAGAACTTAAATACCACAAAGAAACACACAGAAATTCCATCAGATGCTAGCAAGGTGGCCGGTGGAGCATTGAATGCACAGCCACATGACAAAACAACAAACAAGATTTAGCATACAAAACAATTTCAGAGTTCCTCACTGCAAAGCATTCTTTAAATAAAATTCATACTGTATACTCAAAACTAATATCTCAAAATTTTGCCAAAAGATGAATCAACCCACTGCTTTAATTGTCTAATGCATGTCACATGAGAGACATGGAGGCATGAGGTCTAATACTTCAGAGCTCTCAAATGCACTATGTACAAGTAACACGCTTTCAGTACTTAATCTGATGTATATGAATTCTGAGATTTTAAAATCTTTATTTATCTATCACAACAATGCTTACAAATATAAAACATCTCTGCTCAAATAGGTACCTCAAAAATGAATAAAAACTAGCATTACATGAACTTGCCTTAAATGCAGTGCAACTGCAGAAATACTTGTTCTCAATTCTATCCTTCAATTTGGACATGAAGAAGCTAAAATGGAGGTAACCCAGTGGATGCTTAGGGCTTGCCTTACATTTAACAGCCATGATGTTTTTTGATACTCTCTGCACCAATGGGCCTGTAGTCTCAGTTGCCAGTAGCCATACTGCCTGTAAAAACATGTTATTGACTAACTGGGTGTTTGAAAACATCTGCCCAGCATGAATGATACAGAAGTCACCATTAAAAATATCCAATACCCATTGCTACTAATTTTCATAACAGTAAAATTTAGTTTTCAATTTAATTCAATTAATTTATTT